CATGTGATTGTGGCATCGTATGCCATCTTGTTGTCGTCAACGGTCGAGACTTTTTCTATTGCCTCTGTTACAGCCTCGACGTCTTTAGTTGTTGTGGTTGTTCTCCTACTACTACTTGTGCTGCATCTTCCATGCAGACATCCTTCACCTTGCGATAGACAAATCGTCGTTTGGCAATGTTTGGCAATCTGTTCTCGCGTATTCAAGGTGCAAATTTCGTCGTCAGCGTTGCGCTGAATTCCACCGTGATGCCACATGGCGAGTTCGAACATGTAAGTGTTCTTTTCGTTGACCATGAACCAGTGGGCGACTTGCTTGTCGTTACGACAAGTCCTTCGAGGTGAAAGGGCCCGAAATCAGGATTTTAAGAATCCAATTAAATTGATCAATTCCAATCTAAAATATAAAATTGAAACCTAAATATAAAATTGAAACCTAAATAAAAAAATGAAACCAAATTACTATGGTAAATAAATAGTAAAATCAAACCGAAACCGAAATATCAAACCGAAACCTAAATATAAATTGAAACCTAAATATAAAATCGAAACCCAAATATAAAGCAGAATTACATGTAAATCGTGATTTCGGGCCCTTTCGGTCTTGATGCAGGGCATCAATTCGAATGCACAGTTTGGCTTGTTTTAGGTAGGCTTTGTCGCTTTGGCACAATTTGTTGTTGGTGATCCAGCAGGCCACTTGTTGGTACTGTACCATCCATAGTACAGCTGTACACTTGAATCAACTGCACGAGATCCAAGATCCCACGACATTTCGCACAGGCGGGACCGGACCGAAAACTCGCGACTCAGATCCGATTCGATTCGATTAGATGATCGAATCGAATCAGAATCTATCGAATTCAATTCGATTCGATTCGATTCGATATCAACAGATCCCCGCACAATGGCATGAAACCTCCACCACCCAAACAGATCTTGCGGCGTCTCTCATTTGTTTTCTCATTATTTGAGCGCTGGTACCTACGTACCTACCCACAGCTATCCAGACTGTATTGATTGTTGAGTTGAGTTGATTGATTGTTGAGTTAGAATGTCGGACGACGAAGAAGCCGCTGCCATTTCGGCGCCATCGATTCGAGGAGGACTGAGTCCAGAAGCCTCGCGACTCTTTCGTGCGTATCGAACAATCTCCAATATGCTGAGCAAACGTGGGTACATGATCCCCAAGGAAATGCGAGAAATGACGCCTGCATCCTTCAAGCAGCGATTTGGAGATCAGCCAGGCCGAGAGTCGTTGACCATTTTAGTGGTAAGATTATATATATTTGATTGCAGTAACCTTGCTTAGTTTGGGTATCTTTGTGTACTTTCCTAATTAATTGTACTTATAATGTTTGTACCTGTCATGTTGCTTGTGTTTGCCTTTCAGGAAAAAGCAGACGACAGCACCAACCAGCTCTTTGTGTTTTTCCCAGAGGACGAAAAGTTGGGAGTCAAGCCGATCAAGACATACACAGATCGAATGAGGGCAGGTACGTCCTGTTTTTTCCCTTTTTTTTGATGCACTAATATGTATACAGCTAGCTAGAGTTTTGGAGAGACATTGGCGCTAATCCTTCATTTTGCCGTCTTAAAATTCGTGTTGAATTGCTGATTACAGAGAATGTTGGAAACGCCCTTATTGGTGAGTGATAATAACCTTGGTGTAAGGCAGGGCTACAATCGTCACACCCATCTCACCATTGCTTGTCGTCGGGATCAACTGCTATTATCATTTCGTTTCATTTCACCAACCAAACAACAATACACCTTTTTCTGCTCCAAACAACCCGGATCGTCACCACCAATAATCTATGACAGTCTTGAGGGTTGACATTACTCCCTTTGCCAAACAGGCTGTTCAGGAGATGAGTGATGCGTTTCGGATTGAACATTTCAAGGAGGCGGAACTGCTGGTCGATATCACACAGCATCAATTAGTTCCCGAGCATCAAGTATTGACCAGCAACGAAAAGAATGAACTGCTCAAACGATATCGTCTCAAGGATACACAGCTACCGCGCATTCAAGCCAACGACCCGGTGGCTCGTTATTTGGGGATGAAACGAGGACAAGTGGTCCGCATCACGCGTCCGTCCGAGACGGCGGGGCGATACGTCACCTACCGCGTCTGTATGTAATAGGTTTTGCTGTTGCAGAATGGATGGATTGATACGAGCTCTTTTGCAGAATGGGTGGATTGATGGTTAGTAGTTTTCGGTTTGCCAACGACGACAAGTGATTCATTGGCACTGGCTATAGGGAGGCTCTGCTAGTTTGCACTGTATGATTGGACCATCTGAACTAGGAAGGTGTAGCAAGCACATGGATTGTCTTGGTATAAATTAGCCATGCACGGCATGTCCCAATCTACTTACTGCTTTTAATAAATGCACAAACCAGGGTTATCTGGTGTCTAGCTAGCTAGTAGCACGTCACTACCATGTGGCACTGTGCTTTTCGGTTCTCCGGATCAAAGTCCATAAAGCGTGCGCGAGGCTCGTAGCCAAATGCCCGCAACGTGAGATTCCCCACCGAATGGAGCCGTCGCGATAAAAGGGGTTCGTCTTTTAGCCAATGGACCCACTTTCCGTAGTGCTGCGGAGAATGCAATGATGCAATCTCGGTAGTTTCTTCGCTGCCATCGTCTACAACCTTACTGTTCTGTCTATTGTGAAGATTCTTCAACCATTTGATGGAACGAACAAAGGAATCCTCGGTCAAGACTCCCTTGAGATGATCATGATGTGTCCGGTAGTCGGCCAAGAGTTTCTCTCCTGTTTCAATGGCTGTAACGGCGGCATCCTTGTCTTTCTTGGCATTGCCCAGAGATTTCCGCCAGGCAAAGTACTCGTCAAAGAGTTTGGACACCTCTGGGCTTTTTGTTGTTTCTTCGTGCCGTGCTTTGGTGGAAGTGCCTGTCTGGATGTCATTGAGCAATCTCCGACGTCCTTGATTCGGCATGCGTGCGGCCAATCGATCTCCGATATCTTGGAATCGATCTTGACGATGTTGGTGTACTTGTTGGTGTAACGCATTATTGGATGATGGTTGTTCTGGTTCATTATTATGACGTCTGCCACCAAACCTGTGCTTGCCGCCGACGAGATCCCCCAATCGTGCCCTGCGGCGTTCATCTTCGTCTTGTTCGTTGTGCAGAAAGGACAATTCCGCCGAATATTTTTGAAGGAGATTGTGTTGGGCTCGTGCCTTGGCAAATCCCTTCAAGTACGATTCGCTCGGATTCTCAATGACCATGGCTTGTCGACTCATGCAACACAATTGTTGAAAGGGTATGGTGGCCTCCGTAAAGTTGGATAGCTGCAATAATGCTTCGAGTTTCTTTTCCGGGCTCAACAAATCTTCGGTACGAAGCTGTAAATACTCGAGGTGACCATTCTTGTCATGATTTCTATTTTGCAGCCAAATGTGTGCATCGTGATTCCAATCACTCCAGAGTTCCATGGATTCCACAATCCGTTGGTGTTCTCGACTGATGAGACTAGTAGCGGTGTCATCGTAGCTCTTGGAAATATTGCTGACATCATAGAACGTTTCCAAGACGAATCGTTCTGCCATACTTTGCATGGGGTGTTCCTTTTTGTCATTGCCAATTTCCGTCTTGGGGCTGAGCAAACTGACGTCCCTTCCATCTCGAAGGACCTGAATTACTTTCAATAGAGGTTGCTGTTGTTGTTGTTGTTGTTGTTGCTGTTGTCCCAGCAAGACAAATTCTTGCACCACGGGAATCATCAATAGACTGTCATGAGCTTGAAACCCAAAGAGAATCTGGTTGCTGTTTTGGTGGTGTGTTGTTGTGGATTGTTGTTGTGGGATATGCTTGGCAATGAATCCTTGATAGAATTTTTCCCATTCTTGTCGTATACGAAGCTGTGTCAATTGAGGTAGTTGGGAGAATTCGTAGTTGGGAGTTCGAATTCCCGAGGACATGACCAGGTTGATCATATTGCGCCATGCCATTTGGCCGGTATGAAATGCCTTGCGATCGCTGTCCTTTTGCGTATCTGCTCGATCCAGTGTAATCATGGGGATGTGTAGCTGTATGAGTGCATCGACTACCGCTCGGGCACCGCTGCCCTTCATTCCCGCCACCAGGAGTACAGTCGATGGAGGATGATCGTTATTATTCTTTGTGGATGACCGATTGTAGTAATTGTCAATGGCGGTAGTTTCCACTTCATGTTCCAGGGCGTACCCATGATCCAGTCGATCTTCTGTCATTTGAACCAAATGAGCTTCCAATTCGGCCAATTCTTCTCGATCCTGTTGGCCGCCTCCTCCCAGTGTGGTATCCAACCAGACCAAAAAATCCAGAGCATCTTCTTCCAACGACGACAATGGGTCAATGAAAATCATCGTATGCGATCGGAACATCATGAAGATCATGGCACAGGCTTCCATTGTCAGCAAGCACGTGACAAAGCTGATCCAAGTAAAGCAGTACGGCTTTTTCTTTCTCTTCTTGTTCCGGCCACCAACCCGACGACCCACCACCTCATGTCGATGAAACAGAGGACCCGTTCCAATGGCCGATGCTTCGAAATCACCAGAGTGCTCTGCCCTCGTGGAATCTTCCTTTGCTGCCGCCATTTTGTTGCCTATCATACTGATCAGTCTAATACTCTGGTGCCTTGTGCGGTAACGTACTACAACGATCTACAACCACAGAGAATTAATTACATAGGTTTTGTGATTGTGTTGTGAATTTCTCTTGGCCTGTGGTTTGGACAGCCTGAAATATCTTTTTACAGGATAACGAATGACGAATAGGTCAACCCCGGGACCCAGGACCCTCTCAATAAGATTCTTCCCCTCAGCCCTCAGGTCTAGGTAACCCACACAACCCTGCATGGCCCTCCATTGAAAACAATTCAGGATGCCATGGACCGATTCCATAGAATTTTAGCAAGCAGTGACTGAACTAGGCAAGCTTATTTCCAAGCTACCGAATCCCTAAAGCACAGGCTTTGACTCTGTGGTAACTAGTTTTTCGGTTGTTTGATTTTTCATCCCCCATGGGAATCGAATCATCAGTGCTTGGGCTATTGTGGAGCTTGTGGGATTGTGTCGGTAGGCTCCATGGATTTTATTGCGGTAGTTGATTAGTTTTGCCAGTGATTCTATGGATTTCAGGTCGCTCCCTATTGCAAAGGCGGCAGTGTCATGTCCAAGGTCTTTGCCTCCGGCAGGTGATAAACTGCTCTTTCCTCTTTTCACCCAAGGGTATTGCATGTTGAGTAAGGTGGGAAGCAGAGTAGAACTAAACTGTTCCATAGCACTCCCTTCCTAATCAGAGTATTGAGATACTGCATTACCTTGATGGTGGACCCTGGGCTAAGATATAATAAGTGCAGTACATTCTGGTACGCAGTACGGTACTACGGTATGCATAGTACCTGGTACCGCTAAGACGCCCACAGCACAGAGTTGCCGGTAGATTTATCTTAATGTCAAGGCAAAGGTGTAGCCCATTCATTCACCGTCAAGAAATTAAAAGCCTAACTAGCTACTAGTACTAGAAAGCCATTAGTTTCGCAGCATTTTAAGATTATTATTGCCATCTTCCAAGACGAGACGACACAGCATTGCCAGGCAAGAGCGAACACAAGGAGCACACCGCTGGTCTCTTCCAAGTCAGGACCACATTCATACGTTGTCGACACCATGGGAAAGAAATCAAAGAAGAAAGGACCCGGAAAGAAGACATGCGCCTCGAAGAAAGGTGGCAATGCCGACAACAACCGCTTCGGCAAGGCCCATCCAGTGTTCTTCGATTTCTGCACGATGCTGGCGACTGAAAAGAACAATGCCAAAGCCAAAGTACTTCTGAACTCCTTTTGCGAAGCAATCGAACCTCCTATGATGCCCCGAGAGCTCTGTGATTTGTACATGAGATTTGTCAGTCGCATGAACGGTTGGCACCCAGGCAGGGTCACCATCTTCACTTTGTATTTCAACTCAGTGTACTCCGAGTTAGAGAAATATCAGTCTGGTGGATCCAAGCCAGTAGAAGAAGAAGACAAACGGTTCTTGTTGGAAATCGCCTCTGCGGATTCGGAACCTGCACTCCTAGTGACCAATGCTCTGTATCTCATGGGACACATTGAGTACACAATTGAAGCCAATGTTGGAGAGGCCTGCTCCTTCATGAGCACGGTGATTTCTGCTTGTGATGCAGCCACGAAGGAGGAAAGATCGCGAAAAATACCATTCCTTCTACATCCAAATTGGAAAACGGTCAACGATTGCCTGGAGTGGATGCGTCATAGTGCCGAGGCTTACCTCATGGCCATGCGACAACCTGCCGAGAACTCGCTGAGTGATCCTCAACCTGCTGTGGAGGAAGACGCCATCGTTTCGGTTGCCGATACCACCACTGGTGAAAAACCTACTGCGAAGGAAGACTCCTTTGTTGAGGTTGCTGGTGTTGGCGTGGAAGACGCCATCGATGCGGTTACTGACACCACCACAGGCGTGGCACAAGATCTTGTGGATTTCGCAACAGGATTGACTAATCAGGAGAATCTGAAAGCCGTGAGGCTTTTTGCAATCTTGCGGAGCGTTGCGGAAAGAGACGTGTCTTCTGTGTCTTGTCGAGAACTACAGGATGTAAGCATGGAGCTTGTAACATTCCTGGACGCTGACAAATGGCACAGTACAAGAGTCTTTTTCTTCTTTCATTATTGCAATAATATGCGCCTTGCGACGGACGAGAATTATAAGCTTGCAACAGAAGAAGACAAACGATTCTTGAGGGGGATCGTCCGGTCTGCAGATTCAGAACCTGCATTCTTTGTGGCTCATGCATTGTATCTCTTGGGAGCCATTGAAGTTGAACAGGAGCGCAATGTTGATGGGATGTGTCACTACACAAACCATGCCATTATGACATGTGATGCTGCCAAGGATGAGGAAAAGTTGCGAACACTGACCATTCTTCCTCCAACTGCAGCCTTTCAAGAACCTCGATACAATGAAACGGTTGCCGATCACCTCGTCGCACTGCGAGCGCTCTCGGTGTCTCTTCTCCAACGCGCTCGTAGCGACGACATGAAACAAAAGCTTGTACAGTTGTATTCTCTCGACCAAAAGGTGGCATCGGCGGCAATAGTTCCTGGGGACCAGTGTGACGGTTGTGGTGGCACGGAAGCAAAGCCCATGAGAGTTTGTGAACGTTGTCTTCGCACTTACTATTGCTCTCGTCATTGTCAGAAAATGCATTGGATCGAGCATCAGAAGCTGTGCCGCCAACAGGGGGAATTCCGGGTCGGCGATCTGGCGATAACGCGCCAACCCTTTGGGTCATCGCGGTTCGGAGGTGTTTGTCACATTGTCTCTCCTGTCCCAAACTGTGAGGGAGAATGGGTTGTGTCCGACACGACCACAGAAAATACATGCATCCTCTCTGCGGACAAACTGAGGGTGCACTCCTATTTTGTTCGGGGCTTGACAGAAGAAAACGCGCTGGAAGAGTTGGATTGAGCCAAGCACTGAGAATCGAGGCTATGACCCATTGACACATGTGTCTCTCTCATGCACAAGACAATCCACAATCGCTTCCGTGGGGATTGGATCCGACACAAGACGTGGTGGATTGGGCAGATCATACAATACAATTAGCAGGGTAGCTCAACTCTAGGCAGAGCTTGGACAGTCGCGACCTCCTCGCCGCACCTAGATTACTTGTGCTCTTGGGATTTGAAAACATCATAGTAAAAGAATACAGAAAACTATTATATATGAAGCTAGCCTGGCAAACCACACCCAATACTAGAATGCAGCAGAAGCAAGCAACGCCGAGGTCTCTCCGCAAGTGAACCCTGTACGGAGGCGATGCGACACAGACAATAGGCTACAAACTTCGGGTCTATACACAGGCTACATGTAGGATACAAACAGCGTCACATTTCCCTAGGCCACACATGCCGCTTTGGCTTGGAAGGAGATGTTTCGCAGTCCCTTTAGGCTCCCAACATTGCCGGTATTCTCCTTGCCCCCTTTGTTCGACTTTCTTTTTTGCTGCTTCTCTAGCTGTTCCAACACTGCATTGGCTTTTCGTAGTTCTGCCCGCAGCTGCTGTGTTTCAGCTTCTTGCTTTTGTAGCTTCCACTTGAGAAGTGCCTTGTCATCCTGAAACTTGGTTTGAGCCTGCTGCAACATGTTCATGACGGTTGTCTTGATCACATCATTCTCTTCTTGCAGGAGAGAGAACCGTTCATCACGTTCCGCGCTTACCTTTCCAATAATCGTCTCTGCCTTTTGGGTGTTTGTCTTGATGGTCTCCTGCAGCTCCTCAATCTGACTGGCCAACTGATCATTCGCTTTCAGGAGTTCCTTGTTTTTGCCTTCCTGCTGCGACAGTGTGGTGCGAAGCTGACTGGTCTCTAGCTTTTGCTCCAGCAACTGGCAGAAATGATCGTTATGTTGCTCTTTGAAGAAATTCAGCTGTTGTGAAAGCTGCTGGACAGAAGTGGCACCGGCTTTTTGCTTGACTTGCAGTGCATCCACCGTAGCCTGCAGCCTGCGACACTCTTCTTCCCGGTCCAACAGCTTCTGGGTCGTCTCTTCCATGAGCACATTGTCCTTGTCGTTGCTTTGGGCAGCCGACTGCTTCTGTTCTCTTGCTCTGCGCTTCATGAAATCAACTTCCTGTTGTCTTTCTTCTAACTGCATCGTCAAGGCTGTTACCTTGTCGAGAATCCTCATGTTATCCTTCTTCCACAGGGCTCTTTGACGCTGGTGTTGCCGCTTCAAGACCATGTTGAAGTAGACAACCAAGAGAGCGAATCCTGCTGAGATGACCGCCACACTGCAAGAGGCAACGATTCGAGGATCCCAGGTCTCTGCAACCTCAAGCCCATGGGTGGCCCACTCTTTCCCGGCCTCCAAAAGAGGAGGGATTTCTGCTCGGAGCCATGATTCCCAGCATGGCACGTCGTCGAATGTACAAGGGAGATTCATCATGGTTGTACTTGCAAACCAAAAGGATACCTTTTCTAGTGTCTTTCACAAACCTTTGGCTAAACTATGAGTGCGCAAACGAAGGAAAAAGATGGATGAGACCCCTTTTTATCGATTGTTGTGAGAAATGTCCCTACTTGTTGTTGGCGCAGCCGTTGGGAAGGTCTTTTTCGGCGAGCAGTGGTCAGTGGTTGATGCGAGAACAGCTTGTTCTGATTGCTTCCTTATGACTGTGATGACAGCTGCCAAAGAGGAGCTTTTTGCGCTCAGTGATACTGCCCCTGAACAGAAACTATGACCATTTGTGTTCTCCCTGGTTATGATAATGACTCAAATCTTCTTTTCTTCTTCACCCCTTTCTTTCGCACCTCCCCCTTTCCTCCACCCCTGGACGAAGTTCGAATGGTGAGTGAAGAATCATTTCCCTCCCAATGCCAGTGTCAACCCTGTCAACCTCCTGTCAACCTGTCAACCTGGCTTCACGCCTCAAGGCACCAGGTAACCCCAAGAACTTCTCCCTTCCATGCACCGGCACCGCTACGTCACACTCATACCCACCCCAGCCAGGTGCATCGTGTGTCGCTTGCATGAAGATTGACCAGGCGTTGAAGACAAACAAAAGTGAAGGCAAGCTATGTACTGGCGAGTTCATTGAATACGGTATCCCTGCGGATGGTCCAGCTTCTTTGAACACAATCATATCACTTGGGAATTCCCCTCCATCCGTCGAGCAGTGAACACACTCCCCATGGATACAAGTACATCGTACTCAAAAACTGAATAATCGAGGTCATAAACGACTAACAAGGAACCACATCATCTTAGTATGGTACCAGGTACCGACCGGTACGCCCCTAATAAGGCATTGCTTCAAGACTTAGTGGATTTTTAAGACTATGAATTTCAACGCGTTGCTCTACCAGTGTAATCACAGAAATGTATTGGTGAGCGTCAACCCGAGTGACCACTGCAATCCCTGATTTAACTTTGGAAGAGAGAGCAGGTTATCCCGATGGAGCATGTGACGAATCCTACGAGCCCCACAACCTGGTGATGAGTTCGTAGGTGTACGAGTTCTCTCCCAATCCCGACATTCTGGGGGCACAAGACACCAGTATTTGCTGCCGCGGTCGTTTCTTGGTTCGCGCTATCCGTACTGGTTTCGGCCGGTCTGGTCTTTTACTTTCGCAGGAATCCCGACGTTGCACGGCACAAATCGATTTTCTAAGTTGTGGGGCTCTTCTTGGTGGCTTCAGTGCATCACGAAAACTGCCGAAGCCAGTAAACTTCTTGTACCAACCCTCGGTGTTTGGCTTCGAGATTTCGGGTATCAACTGGAGCTGATACCACTGTTACCCCTTTTGGTCAAAGTTGCAGGTATGATATTGCAATGTATATAGCTACATGGTTCGTATCATTTTGCGTGCATCCTTATATCAATGACATGCTACTGTACAAGTTGTCGCGGAAGCTGATATCCACAACCAAAGACTTAGTGAACGCAAGGGTTTTTCATATCGCATCCAAAGCCAGATTACGTTGCTCCTTTGTTGATGCTCTCATTTATTTGTTTGGGCGACGCCGGGAGAGCAGAGTTTCCAGCGCTTTGAACTCGTCGCACTCCCCATTTTCTTCGAGGATGGCTTCGGCCGCGTCATAGGTACTGGATCGACGTTCCTTTGGACCCTTGCCGGTTGCCTCGGCAGCTGCGTCCTTGGTTTCTTTGATTTCCGAAATCAAGTTTCGCATGGACTGAGACAATGCAGATTGATCGACGGAGCCATTGGTCTTGAGTCGCTTCAGCAAGGCGTTGGACTTCCATAGTTCCTCTTGCAAACTGACAATCTTGGCATCGCGTTTGCCCATCTCTCTCTTGAGCGTCATTTTGTCGGCATCGTACTTTTCCTGCGTTGATTTGAGCATTCCCATGACAGTCGATTTGATGGCATCATTTTCTTGCTGAAGAATGGCGAACCTTTCATCTCGCTCCGAAGTCAAGTCCCCGATGATTTCTTCCGCCTTGACTGCGTCCGCTTTGATTTTCTGATGGAGCTCTTGGATGCGTGCGAGCTGAGCAGTACTGGTTTGCTGGAGTCCTTCAATCGTTGCATCCCGCTCTGCCAGAGTGGTGTTTAGTTGTGACGCATGGAGTTTTTGCTCCAGCAGTTGGCACTCGTAATCCTGCTGAGCTTCCATGGAGCGGTTCAATTCGGCTGTGACTCTTTCCAAGCGCGCATCCGTGTCCTTTTGTTGATTTGAGAGCTCCTCCAACGTTGTGCGTAGCGCTTGATATTCCTCATCCTTGGTCTTCAGGACATTGGAAAATTCCTTTTGAAGGTCTTCTTTTTCCTTGGCAGCCGCTGCCTCCTGCAGCTTGATCTGTTGTTTCAAAACATCCACTTGTTCGTCTCGATCTTCAAGCTGCGCCACGACGTCTTCGACTTTTGTCAGGATCATTTGACTGTCGTTCTTCCACCTTCTGTTTCGTCTTCGCTGCTTGCGTCGAAAGCCAACATTCCACCCCAAAAGGGTCAAGATCAGTACGGAAGAAAGGGTCAACGACACCACCATGGTGCTGTCGTAGCCAGTGCCCAACTTGGCAAAACCCATGCCCATTTCTTCCTCAGAAGCGGAAATGTTATTGCTCATGAATCCGTCGTTTACTTGTGTACAGCTCAAAGTATCGTCAACCTCGCAAACTTCTTCTTCTTCGTATGCCTCTTCATCATCTTCGCTCGTCTCTACGCCGCTGCTGTAGTTCTCCGCCTCAATCGGAACCGCTTCTTCATCCTCGACCTCCATGGCGGTTTTCTTCTCGTGCATTTCGGTTTGTCTGCTTCGCCCAACTTCTTGGGAATTCATCATCCCACCGAACTTGTGGAGAAACTTGCTCATGGTCTTGGACAAACGACAACGGCAACTTGGAAAGAAACACCTTATTATATCCGGCAAAGCTCGGTCTAAAATTTATTTGTGGAGGGATCACGGAACCAGCAAACAAGGAACAAAACGCTGTTGTCACGGAGGAGATCCCTGACCACTCAACAAGAAGAACAGCAGCAGTGCAAGAGAAATGAGAAAGAAATCCAGCCCTTCAACGCTTCTGGTGCATGGTTCGATGCAGTCCTCGTCAGCACTTTTGGAGTGTCCCGATTGGACAAGAAATTTGGAAAGAGGAACTGCGAGATTTAATTAAAAATACAAAAGCTTGCTTAATGCTCATATTTACCGGATCCCCCTTTAAAGGTCCTTTACTATACCCGAACTACCGGCTGACATTACAAACAGCTCTGGCGGGATGCAAAGGAGCCTTGAACTCCCAACACCACTTCTCCCTGTGATTTCCCACCACAGGTGCCCTCCTCCTTGCCTTGCCTTGCCTTGCCTTGCCTTGCCTTGCCTTGCCTTGCCTAAGCTAGCTAGCTCATCAGGTAGCTAGCTAGCAGAGTTTCCCTGCCGGTACGGTACCAGTACTCTGTTTCTCAGGTACTTTTGTCCAATGCAGCAAAAAGTGAGAGTGCTAAAATGTGAACCTCCTGGCCTCAGTTCTGGTTGCCTCGTGAGATGCCGAAGCCATCTGAATTGCTTTCTTGTTTCCGTGAGAACCATTTGTTCAATCCCTGCAAGACATGAAGAGAGCAAAATAAACTCAAATCGTTTTGAGTTCTCTGCACATTCTCCGTATGCTTTGGCGGGCTGGAAAAGATGTGGAGTCACACACCGTTGACAAATCTATCAAATGCAGCAAAAAGTGAGCGTGCTAAAGTACTGTGTTTTGACAGAGGCAAAGCCTCCATGCCACGCTTCTGGTTGCCGACCCCCCTCTCAGGTCACACTTAGTTGCTGAAGATTCAGAAGCTTTCAGAAGCTTTCAGAATTTGCTTCTGGTTTCCCTTATAGCTAGTAGCCCCATTTTGCAATCCCTGGAAGACATGAAGGGAGCAAAACTGCTCTGCATCATTCTCCATCCTCCATCAATGGTATGTCATACGCTTGCTGCGATATGGACTACCTCAAGCCCTTTTGGGGCGCTCGGCCCAAGTTTCTGCGAGAGCCTCGTATCTATTCTGGTGCCGAAAGCAAAGCTCGGACGATTGTTGCCGTTCGCCAAATCAAATTGGCCATTACCAATGCACAACTGGGTATTTTAGTGGTCATGCATCAGGATACCTCGTATTCAGAAACATGCCGGAAACTGCTCATGTGTGCCACCGATCCTGCTGCTGACAATGATGAGGATGACTGCAATGAAGAGGCAATTGACACTAGCAGTGCTGCTCAAAATGAGATTGCATTGGGCACTGACTGGCTGCAGTGTATTCCCAGTTGCCCCGACAGCAATTCTGCACTGACGCCTACTACGCCGAAGCGACAGCATGGTCAGCTACTGCTTTGCATCGGCACTTTTTCCAAGTACAGCAGCATGTGCATGAATGATTCGACCATGAGCACCCTGGATGAAGCCAATGATCCTAACAATGTAATCATCATTACCAAATCAGCCATCATGCTGCCTCTGGATTATCAGGAACAAATCGTCCATGGAGCTCATGCCGAAGAAGCCGTGCAAGCTGTGGCGGTCGCCCTGAGAGACAGCAAAAGCAGTCGACTTACGTGGGGACATGGTCCAGGCACCAAGAGCCGCCTTCTGTCGTGGGCCTTTTCTCACCTGCCTTATGCAAGCAGGATGAACTTGGTTCTGGAACTCAACACGTCGAGACAGTCTGCACTCCTGAAACCACTGTCCAAGTCTCTTCATGAGATGAATTCAAACAAGCACACAGTCTTCGACATGATGGCCTCATACATTCAGTTTCAGAATCAAATGAAGCTCTCCATGGGCCCAAAGGGGGATGCCCCGTTGTCAACTTCTTTGATGCTGGCCTCCATGTCAGCATGATACAGCGATACACACAATCAACAAGGGCATTTCCCTCCTTACCAATCGCGACGGGTTAGTCATGAATCGGGAGGCCTCCATTGGACACACCCTCTCTAAGATGAGCCAACTCTTGACCGTCGACCCGTGCAAATCTAGCAAGGGCGTCTACAACTTTTGGGTCGGTGATGGTGCCTCGAGATTGAATGGCGGCATGGAATTGGCGTTTTCCTTCTTGGCACGTCTTGATGCCTCTTCATCTGGCCCCTTCAAGACCTTTACCACCCTCTTCATTTTGATTGATGAAACATGGGCCATTGGAAACAGTATGATTCAAAAGGAGCCCGACTACATGTATCACAAACTATACAAACGGAGCTTCTATGAAATCTTGGCACAGCATCCTCGCGTGGCACTTTGTCGAGGGTCCACTGAGCTCTCGACAGTCGTTTGCGACCTGACGGCACAACATCAGCAATACATTCAAGATGACAACGAAACCGATGGTCAACTTCAGGTGGTTTTGGTCATGGATATGCATCTGTCCATGCCCGCCACAATGTTCCCCGTTATTACTGCGGAATGCAGGGATGTGCCCGAGATCGTTTCTCCGAGCCACCTTGGGGACCTTTGCCGAAGGCTGTCAAAAGAGGGTACCAATCTATGGTTGTTCATCGTACGAATACTTGCAGTTCCTGCATGCTTTCATGGAAGGAACGCCGGAAGGTCGGACCAAGTATCAATACATTTCAGGCATAACAGACATTCAAGCATCGCATATGTGCGGTTTCGATCAAGTCGAAGGCAAGAGTGTCATGTTTCTCAATGACGTCTATGGGATCAATTCCTTGGGTGAGTCTTTGCGCATGAATCAATCTGGCTTTGGAGACCAAGGACGCCAAATGCTCTTGTTTATCTGGCATCCATCGTCTGCCTCTCCAAGTGACAATTTTTCGCTTCATCGCCCTCCAATGGTCTGGCCTTCCGTGTCCAATGCACTGGTAAGGTTTTTTGTGGGCAAAGAAGAGGATGCTGCGTTCTTTGATTTTGATGGAACGCTGGACAACGTCCCCGACATTCAGAAAGCCATGTCGGCCAAGACACCACTGATTCTCGTCAATATGCTTCCAGAGCACGAACGGCACACTGTTCCTTTGGACATCCGAGTTTCCTCAAAGGTTTGAGAGTGCTTGTTACCGTACATTATGCATACCCCGGTACTTGCACTCGATCGACTCGACTCGTAGCATAGTGCACGGATGGACTATCAACCAGAACTTTTAGCTACACATGCTAAATACTACATGTAGTACATGTTTTGCCAGATGTGTTTCTTTCTCGGGCTTGCACAATTCATCTTTGTAACATCAGCTTGCACTCTTACCCTCGACCAAAGATAAGCTTGTATCATATAAGATAAGCTCGCATTCACTCGCATCACCCTGGGTTCTGGCTTGGAGCTTCTTGTACATCTTGCTCCTCTCGCCTGAGCCTCTTGCAAGAGTGCACCTGAGCTTTGTCGCCCTCGAGGAGAGCTGCAATACATTTGCGGTAATATGCCGTACCACTGGTATCCTGAAACCCGGACAGAATTGATGGCAACAATTCCGGCGATTTGACGGAGGCTCAGACTTCAGTCCCGAGTTGTTCATGACTTACTTGCGGTACGTCTCAAGCGTGGCCTCCAACAGCCCGGTCCAAGCACGTGAAAGAACAGGAGGAGCGACATTCTATCAATTCGGTCAGAAAGACACAACCAACGAACCGAAGCTGTTGCTTGCTTCGTGTCATATTGAGTTTGTGTTGCTGTCAATCATTCTGGCATCTCTTTGTGTTGCCCAAAGCAGCCTCTAGAGCTAGAGCTAGACTAGCTAGTTAGTGTATCATCTTGCCTTGTAGGGAGTGCCGAATTGAGAAGAGCGGTGGTACTTTCAATTATATAGTGATTTACTGCTGGGCCCATCAATCCATCAAGACGTCGCCTCTTTTTTCTTGGCTGCATTAACAGTGCAGGAGTTGAGCGTCCAGACATCACAACGCCATGTCATCCAAACGCAGCGGCGGTAGCAGTCACAAGTCGAGTAGTGGAAGTAGCAGTTCCAACCATGTCGTGACGGCCAGCCCGAATTCGACACGCGGTGTTTCACTGTCTTTGCCGCTATTGGAGGGTCTGAGCCAGCGTCCAGAGACGGCCCATTGTTTGGTTCAAACTGCCCTGAAGAGACTGCAGGCTGCACAAAAGATTGCTCATTGGGTCTCTTCCAAATGGAGGGCCAAGAAATCGCAACAGATCACCGCCGCGAGTCCGTGTGTGATTCCCTACCAACAAAACTTGCCATCCCATCAGCACTGGCTCTGGGATGCAATGCGATCCGTTTCACGAACAGAACGTCATGTCGCAGCACGCTTGTTGCTTCAGGGAGGATGTCCCTGCTCTACTTGTCGAACTGCGGCAGCGGCTACTTCTTCTGCTGCTGTTGGAATTGTCGGCAGTGCTGGTGGTGTCAGCAAAGGGGATGATGAACACGCTCAATGGCGACTGCAGCAGGTCTTGATTTCACTCTGGAATAAACACATCCTTCCTACCACTCTCGCACCAAGAGTGGAACCCATGAAAGACACGACACTAGCGACCTTGCCAGCTAATATTCCCATGGAATGGATGGCTCTATTGAAGCATATCGTGCTAGGGAAAATGGTCACTGAGGAACGAATTATGGCCTTTTGTTTTGGAGGAATTCCATGGATTACCCAATCAATTTGGCAACTAGTTACTGCCCTGAGCAACTCGAAAGAAGGAGCGTCTGCTCCTCTTCAGCTACAAGCTTTGATCGGACTGGTCGAGCTGTGCTACTCGGTATTGCTTGTGGTGTTTATTGAACCAGAGACTACCACCTCCTCCAGTCGAACCGCGACCACAGCATCCACAGAGAATCCCCCTCAAGCATCTACGAGCACCAGTACTAATTCATCTGCGAGTACCAATGCAATTTCTGCTGCTTCTAGTAGTAACCCCCGAAGACCCAGGCTTGGCCGTCTCGCTTCTTCGAGTAGCCGCGGCGGTTCGACTACTGCAAACGCGGCAACCAACTCGAACCGGACGGCAACCGCCGAGACTGGGGATAATTCCATTGATAATTCGACAAATTCTGATGCTGTCGCCAAGCGATTGACTCTACGTCGTCGAGTTTTGCAGCGTTTGTTTTGGAAGAATTTTGACACTGCCGCTGTTGGGCCAAATCAATCCGCCAAGCACGTACACCTATATCATCTGGTAAACAACGCATTCCCTCTGTCACCCCTCGCCTGCTTGATTGGCGCCTTTCATATTTGGAAAGCCAACAGTGACTGGCCATATCCAGGTCCGACTGCAGATGCCTGTTTGACCATGTTGCGTCAATTGGTAGATCCCAGCACTACCGCCAAGGCAGTCAGTTTGGCTGGTTTGACGGCTCCGATCAGCTCCAACACTGGCACAACCACCGCCAACACAAGGCCCAGGGAGGCACCCAATTCCGCTTCCAGTAGTAGTCGCCAGAGACGTCGAAAGCGACAACGGTCGACGTCTTCGGCTTCTTCGTCGCAACCGCCTGTGCCTCAGCAAAGGCAACCGCCCCAACCACCTTCTTCGTCAGGAGTAGCGACAACCTTTTTGTTTCGATCCAGTGCAATTGGATCGTCTGCTGCAGGCGTGAACAGCAGCAACGGAAACAACAATGCAGCCTCGAGCAGCAGTGCCAGGTTGGCGGCAGTTCTAGGATCGGCACGAGGCAATCTCCTCAGTGCTTCCGATGACGAGGACGTGGAAATGGACCAAGACCACGATGACGACTCGGAGGATTCTTCCGAGGAGGTTGAAGTGTTGGGTGGAGGAGGTGGAAACAACCACGACGAAGATGAAGAAGACGTGGCTGACGAAGACGAAGAAATCGATAGCGACGAAGGTGACGGCGATGGCAACAATGACGACGAGGAACAGGAGCAAGAGGAGGAGGATGAAGACGAAGGCGAGGAAAACAATAATGACGAAGAGGAGGATGAAGGTATGTCGGGTATCGTTGTTTTTCAGGTGGTTTTCTGGTTGGTCTGACTTTCTGGATCATCTTGTTTCACAGATGAAGACGACGATGACGACGACGATGATGATGACGAGGAAGAAGACGAGGAAGGTAGGTGGTATCGCTGGAGTTTCGGACTGCGGGACACCTGGTGTGCTGACTAGTTCCCGTCGTAACAACAGAATTGGACCAAGCAGAGGAAAGCCTCCTTCACGAGGACGTTGCGAGGTTGGAAGAAGGATTGCTGTCACTCAATGATGCCGCCGGACCAATGGAAATCGACCTCGAAGACATTGTGGGAGAAGATGGCGGAAGCAGCGGGCTCATGGCAGCAACTACTGCAGCTCGCAATCGCCTGCGCAGTGCTGTGTCTGGCGCCTCGTCGGGTGCTTCTCTAGGTGGACCCAACAGCAACACCTCCGGAGCTGCAAAGGCGGCAACGGTGGATGCTCAAGAGTTGACCGAACGCAAAAAGTTGTGTCTGAAGGCTTGCATGGAAGTCCTGGCTGTCCAGCATCCACCTCTGCTTCCTTTCCCGGGAGCTCAGAGCAACGCCAACAAAACTGTTGGGTCGTCGCGGGCTACTTCACCAGTCCCAAATTTCCGATCGGGTCGCAGCGGTTTGTTTTCCCCTTCTGGCGGCGCACCGTCGGGCCAGTCTCCAGCAACTGCATCATCAAAGTGTTGTTTCAGTCTGGCCGCAGAGCGTTCTCTCCTCGAGTCAGCAATGGGCATCGTTCGACCCCCCAAAAAGCCAGTGAACACCAAAATGATAATGAGAAGGGCACCGACTCAAGAAGAATTTTTTCGCGGATCTCTTTCTCGAAACCCCATCTCGCTCTCTATGCTGAAGCCAACCAGTGGATCGGGACCTTCGAATTCTGGTGATGTGTATGAACCCACAGTGCGCGACCTAAGACAACATATTGCCGATGACTTACAAATGTCAGATAGTGCCGAGCTATTGGAGCTGCTGGTTGCAAACAAAATTCTCGATGTCAACCTCAAGTTGCGGGTGGTGCATCAAGTATTGTGGAAAAACCATCTGATGGAACACAGTCATTCTGCTCCAGCGTCCTCTTCCAGTTCTGCATTGGCGTCGCTCTTGGCAGGCGGTGGTGCAGGAGCACCTTCCTTTTTCTCCACTGGTTCTGGACTTTCTATGATGTTCAGCTCGGGGCTTGGTGGAATTTCTGTTGGCGGTGGCCGAGGAGGTGCGGGCGTTTTGAGCCGTGCCGCGGGAGGCTCCCAAGTTACAGCAGATACACCTTTGTCTGCGTTACCTCCATTGGTCGTTACGTATAGGCTCGCGGGTAAGTGCGAGGAAACTGTGTACCCTCCCATCACAACGTTATCATCACCGCAGCGTGGCACTCACACATCGCTTTTCCTGTATCTCCCACAGGGGTGGACGGAGAGGCGACGGAGGATACCGTGAGCACACTAGTGGATCCAGAAGCGCCTTCAGATGCAATGTCGCCGGAAGAGGTTGAAGCTCTCATGGAAAAGGAATATGGCATCACGCGTATTGTTACCGAAGGCCGAGGCGTGTATGTTTTGCTTAGATCCATTGAGCATCACATTCAAGAAGTATTGCGCTGTATTCGCCGAGATGATATTAGCGTTATGCTCGAATACGGCACAGACAAGAATCCATGCGCCGTCGGCAAGAACAAGTCACGCGACAAGTTCAAGAAGCAGGCACCTTTTCCCGGTTTGACTTTGTTGCGGTGTTGTGCGAAATTGCCTAGCAATCGAAAGAAGCTTCTGCAGGCCCGTGCACCCACCATTTTGTTGAGGCTTTTGTTGGATGTTCTCAATGCGCTGGAAGATCCAACCGCAAAGGCTGTCGCATTCGATGCTGGTGCGCTAGATTCGAACGACTCTGGTAGCAACGAAACGGCTGAGGTCTTGCAAGAGCTTATTGAGGCCCTTGCTTCTGATATATCAACAACGGCCGTTGCTGCTACAACTACCAATACGGTGGATGAAACCAAAACCGACGACACCAGCAGCACAACAGATTCGGCTGCAGCGGCAGCAGAAGGGCAAGACCATGATGCGACGACTCTTTCGCTAGTGCTGTCCTCCCTGGAGACGATTTCGTTGTCACCTCCTCTGAGAAACATCATCGCAAAGCTTTTGCCATTCTTGACGTACGGGCAAGTCGACCTGTCGCGGGAGCTGGCGCAGAACTTTGCCCGCCGCATTGACGTGAATCTGCTCACTGATGAGGATAGAGATGAGCAGGTGGATGGTGGCTCGAGTGACCAGGAGAATTCTGGAGGAGTTGCTTCAGCCGAGAGAGGCGACTCGACAAAGAGCTCTGTTCTAATGGATGCCTTTGTTGAGGCATCCATCTCCCTACCACCCAATGAAGTATGTTGCTCCTTGCGATCGGAGCTTATCAACTGTGGCTTTATTCATCGCCTGGCATCCTTCATCACAAAAGGCGTCCCTCTGTCGCCGCCACCTTGGTCTGTAGGGCTCCTCCCGCGGGATGATCCGCTGAAGAATAATCCTGGCGAGAAACAAAGAATTATTGCCGCTTGGCGAGAGTTTTTCCGTCGTCAAGGAATCAAGAAGGCTTTCAGCATGCTCATCGGGCTCTGCAAGGATCACGCACCCACAAAAGCGTTTGTAAGTCAAATTGGCGACGATAGCGACAAGCTCTCTTCTGGAGGAGTTTCGTTTTTGCAAGCTTGTCATTGGATGGAAGCCACTTCTGATAACTCTTCCAATAGAGTCCATGTCAGGGGGGTTGGTCTTCTTGCAGAGACTCTCCTTGACGAATTGGCAGAGAATGACCTCGTGGCCAAGAAAGTCAACGCCCTTCGCCGCGCAACACGACAGCGAAAGAAGGAAATCGCTCAGGCACGAAGAAATAAGGCCCTGAAAGGCATGGGGTCGCTTGGCCCACTCGCTAGTACTGCGGCTACTGATGCCAACCAAAAACGTGATGCTGCAGTCGACGCACCCAGTTCAAGGTCGCCGTCTGGTGGGAGTGTTCGAGAGACTGCTGCTTCGTTCCTGGCCCCTGTTCTTGGTTTCTTTGGTTCTGGGAACGCAATCGATGCCGCCAGTAGAAGCGGCACAGGTGGTGGCGCGCCTGCGGCATCTCGAAGCAGCCCTCGGAACAACCGCAAACGTACCGCCCAACAACCACCAGAGGCTTCGAAACAACCAGAGGCGAAGAAACCTGCCTGGATGGCGGAGATGGAGAATCTAGTTGATGAAGAAGGTTTGGTGTGCTCCGTCTGTCAAGAGGGTAGAATGCTACAGCCTTCGGAGCTTCTAGGCCTTTATGCCTATGTGAAGAAAGTGTCGATTGGTGCGGATCAGTGCGGGTCCAGAGACAACATCGATGGCAGCACATTGCTTAGAACCCTTCCAAACAGTCTGCCAGAGTCTCTCGTTGGTACCCACTGCGCGGAACAGTGGTTTTATCCTTTGCGCACGGGAGCAGATCTGAGGGAGCGTTCTGCATTCTCTCTTGGATCCAGCGTCAGCAGCAGGCGAAACTCCTACTACACGACAACAGTTTCAGCTGGAAATGCAATCCACTTCAGCTGCCACCAGCGTGCACGTCAGGCTGATCGCAACCACCCCAAAGCACCCAAGTCTGAATGGGAGGGCGCCATTTTGCGAAATTCGCGTGTCAACTGCAACGTAATTTTGCCCTTGGTGTCTTCCAGAAGCTCGGACGTGCCACTTGTGGCTGTTGACTCTGCATTGACAGAGTATCAGACTGCTGTCAACAATTTGACCGGCAGTGCACCCAAGTCCATGCTCTGGACTGTACTACACGATGTCCGGTTTCTTCTCCTGCGTATGGCACATGGAGAAATGCTTGGTGCTGACTGTGGCGGCGGCTCGCTTTCGTCCAATGCCCAGCTTCTGATCCATCAATTGATTATTGCGGATACCTTTTCAAACCAGGAAAAAGTTGAAACACCAGAAAATTCTGAGCATGTGAGGAACCTCTCTGCTGGCTTTTTGGCGGCCTGCTCGATTGTGCATGCACCAGACTACAAGAAGAGCGGGACTTCGGCTTCATCTCTTTTGGTTCGTGGGCTTGCCGATAGTGCACCAATGGCAGGTCTGACATGCATCGTAACACACAACACCCGAGACGACTTTGGTGGTGCCGAATCTTCGTCCGACTCGAAGCCACATCCGAAGCGTCGATGGGTCACCGGACGCGATATGTTTTTGCGGGGTCTCATTATTTGCGCTGGACGTCGTCACGCCCTTGGCATTGAAACTAGTGGATGCGTATCGGGTCGCGGTGGGACCAGCAGTGGCCAATCGAGGGCGGGCACCACGGCGTTCCCCGACTGGAGTTCTTCCAGCCAAAGCGAAAGTCGAACCACGGCCTCTGCTACATCGTCATCATCTCATGGAGGTGGCCGGAAAGCCAAGAAACGAAGCCTCAAGCCCGATTTAGATGATTTTGGGACGAGTCTTCGACCAATGATCTGCTTCTTTGCTATTTTGGATCAATTGTCAGAATGCTTCATCTTGAACCCCAAGGACACTGAAATTGAAGAGAGTGCTGACAAGATTGTCAAGATCCTCGGCCAGTGTCAGAAGGCAAAAGGGATCCGGGAGCTGTTGGAGATTTGCAAGGCGTCCCATCTGGATGAGGAAGAAATCCTAGAAGACTTCCAGCGCGGTCTTATTAGCGCTTAATCAGTTCGATATTCACTTGATTTGTACAAAACTTGATTGGCCATCATTTTAAACTCAAAGGTGGGGACCAGTGTACGTGCACCGTACTGCTACTCAACAGTAGCGATGCCGTGGTTCCCACCTTATTCCTGCATATCGTCACCGTCGTCATCTCCGGTTCTCCCGAAAGATTCGTTGCTTCCATGGGGGCTTGACTTTCTTCCTGTGCTTGAAGTTGGTTGGCTGACAAGAAAACTTGTGGTTGGCAAATTTGCACTCAAGACTTTCCTGTGCCCCATGGTCTTCTTGGCTGGAGTATCTATTTCTGGCCTTGACAGCAAAATCAAAGCCTGCTCCGCACACTAAACGCCCAAGAAGACATCCCTTCACAACTCAAATCCTCCCGTCCATCAACAGCAAAAAAAACATGTAGCTGGCCTCAACCACAGTAAGGTTAGCGTTTCTCACCTCGGAGACTTCGAAGTGTCATGTGAGAAAGAAGGATTTTGATTTTTGTTGGTTTGTTGTGCGTTGGGTGTGGGGAGCTAAAATTGAAGAAAACAAAAGGCAACAACGACGGCGATGTCATACAACATGATATCGGAGAGGTTCGCGCCCACTCGCAGTGATTCCTCCTCTTTCAAGAGGCGAGCAGTGTTTGTTACCGTTCGGGTCATCCTGTTTCTGATCTTCCTCCAAGTTTTGGTTGTGTTTTCGGTGGCACTGAATTTGGGTAGCGATGGGTTGGAACAGGCTCGATATCTATTGACGCCTGCGGCAGGAAACTCGTCATCGTCCTCGAGTTGGTTCCTGGAAGAAGAGGATACCGAGACCGGCAATTCAGAAGAAGGTGACGGAGCTACACGGGAAGAACGGTTGAAAAAGATTGAATTGCTGGATGATAATGACCCGAGACAAGAGCGAGTGTTATACGACAAAGGCAGCAGCAAAAGCAGCAATACGCACGAAGAACAATCGAGTCTGGACGATTATGGTTCTCGAAGGCATCTCCCATGGAAGAATTTCACGCCCATGGAAGATGGTCCCTATTTGATCGTGGGAGGGTCGGATGGGTCGGGTACTAGAGCCGTGGTCGATACACTCATAGACCTGGGTGCTGCCATTCGCGTGGAGGATCCGCGAACTAAAGATGTCCATGGAACCGAAATGTTCCACAAAGCAGGATGGCCACCGTTGGTTTATTTGGCCTTGCAACAAACTCGGTCCGCGAACTATGAACTCTCTGACATGACGGAATCATCCAGAGACGAGGCACTCTCCAACCTGAAACGGCTCAAAAAGTCCATTGATTTGAGGGCCCCGTTCATCTTCAAATCAAGAGTAAGAGATGCTGACGATGAAAACCCATTCGCCACGGCATTCAAAGTTGGTTGGAAGGCACCGGTTTCAATGTTTGTCATGCCCATGCTTCAAAACGTCTTTGGGAGAGTCAAGTACCTGCATGTCGTACGAGATGGGCGGGATGTCTGCCTGAGTGAAAACCAATCGCCAGTTCGAAAGTTCTATAACACCTTTTATGGACTTACCAAAGAGGGACAACCAGGTGATAACAACATTACCACCTTGTCCATGAAACTTTGGAACGACGTCAATCAGCAAGTTATGGAATGGGGGAAAGCCCATTCCGATGGCGAGACATTCGACTACTTGACATTGAGATCCGAGGACTTGGTAAACCCAAATACCAGGTTCGAGACACTATTGTGAGTACTCAAAAGAAACATTCGGGATTGGCTTTTGCGTTCGGGGAACCAGTTTCCTGCAAGTGCTCATCGCTACCGTATTGCTCTCCACTCTTGATATGAATCGAATCATAGACAACTAGCCGACTTTATTGGATCCCGGAAGACACTACGAGAACTCTGTTGCATGAGCCAACAAGAGCTGCACGATTTAGGCAAGTCACTAAATGGATTCTCTGATCCGCGGAAAAAACGAGGGGGGCACCAACGACGAGGAGTTGGGCTTCCATTCGATAGTTCCAAGGAAGATTTTGTCAATGACCTTTTGTTTGGTCTTGGTAAGGACGCGAGGATGCCCGGCTCCAAGAATCACCGTGAAAAGAGGTTTCACCGCCGTCGCAACAAGCAGGATTTAACAGAAGAAGGACAAAGAATACGTCGACAGGGAGCGCTGCGTCACCTCAATGATGATCCACTGAGACGACACGGCGGAGCATTGGGCATGCAGAGACGACTACTTCAGCAAAACGATGGCGCGGAGGAACACCGCGATGAAATATCAGGTTCAACACCACACCGGCGACTTCAACCACAACGGTCTCGTCTGCGTGAATTGTTTTACAACAGTCGACTTGGACATGGGGCTCGTCGCCACAACTTTGTGAAAGAAGCACCGGAACAGGTCAAGGCAAGGTATGGCAAGTGGGTCAAGGCATTAGAAGACAAACCAGAGTTGTCCGCTCAACTGCACGATCTGGGTAAATCAGGCCTTGAAGCATTTGGCTATGAACCGCCAAGAGCGTTTCTGGATCCTCCAGATGAAACGTATCTGGAGCAATGCCAAAAAATGTTGAATGCCAACCTTTGTGATGAGTAGGAACGAAAGAGACCAACTACTGAGGATAGTCTCCTTGGTTGTGGGCTTGTCGGTTGGCCAACATGTCCATGTCCGATGGGAAGCACCGACTGGATCACCGACTTCTCCCTTCCATACGGCCGGCAATGGCTACCGGTACATGGCGAGTACATACATATGGATTCCCCTTCTTCCTAAGGCCTAGTTCAGTAGACCAATGACACGCGCGAGTGTGGCTCAAGGGGATGGGAGTGAGGGTGGGCTGGCATGGCAATCGTGCTGAGAAGGAGTTTCTTGATGGAGCGACAGTGGCTTCTGAAGCCTGAAGGAACAATGTCGTGCACGGTCTGCCATACATGTCAGGATGGTTAAAAGCTTACTACCTGGTGCTCTAGTTTTACTACCGGTGATGGTTACACTATTGGATCCATAGCTTTCGACGAGGCACCGTTATCTTCTCATGATCATTCTCCTCGGATTGCACGGACGTGGTGTGACGCTTGTCGCTGTTCCGAGCAGCATATTGGATGTCGCGGCAGTGTCAGCTCCGAAAAAGAAGGGAAGAGGAGCCGTACCGGTACCACTGTTGTTGGCACCTACTCCGCCTAGAGGAGCCGCAATGTATGAACGCGGCCATGGGACATTCACCGAATCTGTGACCACTGATCCCTCGAATTGGGTTCTTCTGGACTGCATCGCATGAAGAGCAAACGATACTTGAGTTTAGCCGTGAAACTATCAAGAGGACCTCTTGGAACTAAGAGTGCAGACGATTACTTACCCCGGGCTAGGACGACGGTTGTTCAAGGCAGAAGCTCCTGGGTTCACACCTTGCTTGGGCATATGCTGGCATTTCTTGTGAAGGTCTATCATACATGTTCCCATTACATTGTGCTGTAGTGTTGACATGTACTAGTAGCTGCCAAGGCTGAGTCACTTGAGCCTGTTTCCCCGTACCAGCATCCACCATCTTGTATCACTTGCATAGCATTGTTCTGTGCCTCTAGCAACCGCAACGCCTGGAAGCTTGTGCGCATATTCGTGTGACACTCGAGATATATCGGCTATCAGCGGTGTTTGGTCTAATTCGTGCTCTTTGATGTCACCCACTTTGTCCATGGCAGCTAGCAGTGGCTTGGCAGGAACTGTGTTGGAACCCTAAGACTCGCAGTCGAAAACTCCATTGGGTGTCGGCGCTCTCAGAAAAGTGAGGAGCCGGCTTCGGGTAGTTGCCATACCGATACCAGCATTGGCAGCAGGCGCACTGGCGCCGGAGGCAGTCCCACCCGAATGCTGACTACAGCGAAACGTTGCCGCTTGCCGATGTGGGAAGACGAAGCGGTAGGCGGAGGAGGAGCCCTTTTTGTGGCCGTGTCGAAGCCGAGTTGGGTCCTGAGAGTCTCAGGGCTAGGAAGAGGGTTGTTCAAGGCAGAAGCTCCTGGGTTCACACCTTGGGCATAGACTGGCATTTAATGAACAGAGTTTGTTATCTTAAAATGCTGTTCGCCCCTCTAGAGTACGGTACCGTACCCGTATGTTACGGTGCATCATATGAAAAGGTTTTTTAGAGGAGGAATTGAATTGAATCGAATCATTTTCGGGTTCTGTACATAGCAAAACATACAACCAAGTTGTGTGACTGGTTTACAAATCAACATCTATGTAGTTGATTAGAAATGTATCCGCCGAGAATGGAATGGTGATACTGGCTGCAGTCCCCTGCTCGCCTTTGCAGCCACTCCATTTGTCGAGGCTCCCTACTTGTGCATGCGTTGTGCGGTCTATGCCCTCCCTCTAAGATAAGACATCCCCGAACAGCGTCATGCTCGTGCCCTTGTTGGTCATTCAATGCAAGCTGCTTTCTTCGCACCTCTGAATGAAGTCAGTGTGACACTCACCCGGATTAGAAAAACAATACTTGTCTTCACGAACTATGCGAACAATCGTTCTATTAGCATGGTGAGTACTTCAACGTCATCGATAATGGCCTTGCTCACTGTCATTCGCTGTGCCAGCAGATTCATGATCTTTTGAGCTTCTTGGTCGGCTGCCTTTGCCAAGTCTGCTGCTGCAGAGGGGCAGATGCAAGATGTTTCACCTCCATAAAATTCGTTTCCTCCCGTGCCACAAACAGTCACAGCCGTGAGCGCCTTGTTGAATCCCCTCAGTAAAGCGGATCTTCTTGTTTTGGTTTCCTCCGCCACCGATTCATTGATGTTCATAGTAGATATTTCATCGTCAACTGACGCCATGATGTAGACACTTGATTGAATTGACGCAGTAGCCACTGCCGCAGATAGAACCCGTTCTCAAACCGCCGCGTTCCTCTCGAATTGATTCAATTGTTGGTGGGATCAATGCAAGTCCATTCCTTGAAAGCAAACCTTTTCTGATTGACACAGGTGGCGATAGAAAAACCAAGCGATAGATCCGAGAGCTGGATTTCGGACGCAATGAATGAGCAATCCGTTCCGAACTGCAAGGTCCATCGCTCTTGTTAGGCACGGGAATGTTCGTCTTTTTTGGGAGCGATCCCCATTTAGTTTCGTCGTCGCTGAAAATGGGGCTGCCGCCACGCTCAATGTTCCGCCACTTTTGGCACGTCTCGAAAACAAATTACTCAGTACGACTTAGTAACCCTACCGCTACTGGACCGTACTGTTGAGACTGGAGCTTGGTTCATGTTGCTCGGACGGAACAGTGTTCACCCAAAACTATAGACGATGGCGAGCAGCTCCTGGCTGCCTGGTAATTCTGGAATAACAAAAGTTTCCTAGCTAGCGGGTAGTAGTGGTATCATTAGACAGGCCCACGCCAGAGTACGAGTAGTGTCTGCGACGATACCCTTGATTCAAGGGTATCGTCGCAAAAGGTTTTAGTTAGGTGTTGATACGGTACTTTACCAAAGTACCTACGCGTGGGTTTCATTTTGTCTTTCCCCTACGTACCGCTAGGAAAGAAACGTTCATAGCTAGCGTACTAGTAGAGCTTCCTTGAGCAAGCGTTTTGGATTCAACACCAGCTAGTCAACTAAGCAACCAAGCAACCTGAACAATGGGCTCTTGTCCTTTAAAAGCGTACCGGTACCTAGGAGTGATACAGCCACCTTGCTCCAACCAGTATCCTGAGGCTTTGCAATTGATCCTTTTGAAGAAGTGCAATAGGTGGACTGCGCAGGGGCTGGAACTATACCGGTACACAACAGCCTGCATACAGTATCGGTACCTGTAGGTGCTCCGTGACATATTAATACCGGTACTGCAAATGGACCACTCTACCGTACCATAGCCCTTTTCAATCAGCAGCCAGTTGGAGGTACCGGTATGACAATGAGTTGGTGATGGTGCTTGGTTAATCCCAGTCACTCATCAACCCTATTGGTACCGGCATAGCTTGGATCATTGCACACATTCAGTTGTAGTCTAGCTAGCTACCAGTAGACCAAGATAGCTTCACTTCCATCGGTACCCGTATGACAGGATAGAGTGCTACCGGTACCGGTACCGGTATATAGCTAGCTATGCAAGGAGGATCATACAATCATACCGGTACCTTGCTGACCCCTCAGTCGAGAGATTTCAATGCGTTTCTGTCCAGTTTGTGACTTCAACAAAGAGAGCATGCCAAGCGGACAGGCATCCTCGCCGTTGTCACATTGGTGCCGATGTATCGGCCACCCAAACCGCTCTTTGCATTCCGGGAAAAGGCAAATCGAAACAAGTTTTTTTTGCAAGTTGACATTGACAACAATACATACGCTCTTGCGGCTCCTTGCTCCTGTGAACACGATAATTTGCTCTCTTTGTTGTCTGGATAGCTACGCTGTGTTGTATCTGAAGGAATTTTGTCATGGTGGATCCGTCCTCATCTACAGCATCTGCTGCCGTCAGTACTGCCCGCGCCACAAGTGTAGATACCGATACCGATACCCATCAACAACCCCGCACAGTCTTCAAACGACCCAGGCAATCCACAAAACGAACTGGAATAGCTCTCTCTGCTCTCTCTACCGTCCTTGTTTTGGCTCTTTTGGTTGTGGTAGCTGTCGAGAACCAAGCTCCTCAATCAAAGTTGGCAATATGGCTGAGACAGACGCCATGTAGTAGAAGTAGAAGTAAAAGTCGACCCGCATCTCAACACCTTAATCAAACTGTGTCAGCCATTAAGAAGAAGAAACAAAGAAGAAAGCGTCGGCTCGAGGAAGGCGAAGAGGAAGAAGATCAAATGGAGGAGGAGGAGGAGGAAAATGAAAGAGATGACGAAGAGGAGGATAATAACGACGAGGACAACAAAGACAACAACCAAGAAGGTGGGGATGACCTTTATAATGACGACAATGGAGGCAGGAACCAGGACGACTACTACGCGGTTGCAGACGATCAAGTAGAAGAGGAGGAAGAAGAGGAGATCATGCAAACCTATCCTCCTGTCTACATTGACGACGATTTTTATGCATTCCAGGAGGATCCAGGTCCGCCTCGACTCTTCCCCCTAAGCTCTCGAGACGTAGCAGCCTATGTGCTGGCATCTTGTGGTCTTACTCTTGGTGCATCTGGTGGTATTGGTGGAGGTGGTATTGTTGTACCAGTGTACATTCTTGTGGCTGGTCTCGCCCCCAAAATCGCCATTCCTCTAGGAGCCGTTACAGTGCTCGGTGGGTCAGTGGCCAGCACTACGGTCAATGCAAGGCGAAGACACCCCCTCGCTGATCGACCCATTATTGACTGGGACCTTGTCTTGGTTACAGAGCCCTTGACTTTGATCGGAGCTTTGATGGGGACATTGTTGCACCGTATACTGAGCGAAAAGGTTCTGATTGTGATTCTGGTGTTGCTCCTGAGTGTGTCAGCCCATTCAACCTTGGCTAAAGCAAAACGAATGCATGATGCTGAAACCAGATACATTCAGAAACTGCGAGCAGTGCACCACTTATCAGAAGTACATCATCATGTTCATGTTCCTCCACCGCCTTCAAGACCGCGCATTGTACCGCTTCCAACTGTTGCCAAATCATCCCGAGACCTCACCATGGCAGGCGAACCGTACTTCTCACCTAGATCTCCCTCTCTTAGTCCAACGGCTGGTGTCGTCACACCTCCTACCTTTGCACATGCTGTACGGACAGATGATGATTGCTTTAGCAACATGACTTGCGAGAATCATGATGTCACAACAATTGACCCCGATACGTCGTTTGAAGATGATGATTTGAAGTTGCAAAAGACACAGTCTGAAGGATCCACTCCACGCAAAATGGGCGTGGAAGAACGGCAACAAATTCTCATTTTGAATCCAGATTTTATCACACTTCGATCAGGATTGTTGGAAGAGGAAAAGTTCACTCCCCGATCGAAAATCATTGCTTTGTGTCTCATGTTTTCCATTCTAATGTTTCTTAATATTATGATTGGAGGAGGGGCCTTTCCCAGCCCTTGGGGTATCCGCTGTGGTTCGGTTGCTTTTTGGGTCGTTCAAGTGATCATGGTGGCATTCCTGGTATCTTCAGCTTGGGCCGCTCAGACCTATCTTGTCAATCGCCATGAGATGAAGGAAATTGTTCGCTTCGACTATGTTCATGGAGATATAAAATGGGACGCTCGCAGTGCCATTATATATCCAGCACTCTTCATCTGTGCGGGGACCTTCGCTGGGCTTTTTGGTATTGGTGGTGGCATGGTAACAGTCCCACTCATGCTTGCGATGGGAGTTCATCCAGCAGTTGTGAGTGCCACTTCCAGTGCCATGATTCTGTTTACCAGCTTTGCATCCGCAAGTTCCTACCTGGTCTTTGGCCTGATTCTGTACGACTATGCCATTGTTTGCTTTGTGGTTGGTTTCTTTGCTTCCCTGTTTGGAAACAAGGTGATGCGTCAAGCTCGTCAAGCCAAGAGTGCCAACGGACGCAACTTTGAACGCAACTCCTACATTGCCTTTTGCATTGGTGGTGTGATTTTGGTCTCTTCTTTGCTCATGACTATTGACTATGTCTTTCGAGTATACGCCTTTGATGACGTTGATTATCCAGAGGGTCTCTGTGAGGGGTATCGGATCTAGTGCTATTTGGTGACTGTGCTCTACTTAGTCTTATTGCTAGTGAATTGCAATAGGCTTGTCCATACTCTACCAAGGCGCGGGAAACATTGCCTGGTTGTGCCACTTGTAACTTCGGCAGACACGGCTAAAGTAGTATCATACGAAATTATTCTTTTGCCTTTGAAAAACACCTCCAGATGTGAATTTTCCCATCGGCCGCTCCCGTGGCACACAATCCAGACTGGTTGCTGTCGGGTGCCCAATCCATTGTGGACACGCTGTTGTCATGTCCTCGTAAAATGGCCTTGAGATGTGACTTGTCGCGGCTGTTGATGGCAGCTCGATCCATGATTCGTAACCGTTGATCCCATCCTGCCACGGCAAACAGTCGTCCACCACCTGGTTGAAATCGAAGGCGGTTGATTCCGGGTTTACCTGTACGACAAGTAGGGATCCTTGACCGGACACGCACTTGAATACTATTGTTGTTGTTTTTGTCACCAGCAGAAGACCCAATAGTGGCTTTGAGAATGGCCACTGTCCCTTGCTCTTCTTCCGGTAGCTCTTGCTGTCCCATACTTTCCCCTGCCATGCCCGCAATTGCCACGACTCCTTTTGCTTGTGGACCATGAGACGGTGTCATATCCAATGCCAGTACTGGATCAGTGGAGAGCTTGATGCTGCTGACAGTAGCAAGGGAGGTTGCTGTTTCTTTATGATCCATCAACATGCGTAAATCATGAAAGAACACAGTCCCCGATTCCATTCCACATGCCACAATGGGTCGACTAATATCGCCTGCTGAGATGATAGTCGACTCGGAAAAGGCGAGGCTGGATAACATTCCATGTCGTCGACGACTGGCAAAGTATCCTTCGTGGTCCATCGCCATGACATCATCTTGCTCCTTGGGAACAAGTCCCGCTCCTGGAAAGATTGCCACGGGCGATGCGGTTGGGTTGATTCTCCAATCTCGAATGGTGGCAACGGCATCATCAGCAGAGGGCAAGGCGACCAAATTTGGATTGGAATGACAGGGAGCCGCCGCGCAGAAAGTTTGTGAATGGGTTGGAATGGAAGATAGAGTGGTGGCAATATTATTGTCATTATTTCCACCTTCCCAATGATGCAAAGAGACGGTCCCCCTTGAGTCTCGTGTCTGATAGAGAAAGCGTTGATTGTCGTCCAGTCGCTGCAAGGACCATCCAGGTCCTCTTTCATTTATGAAATGTGCAGTAGTTGCTTGTCTCTTGGACAAATCCCACAAGATGCAGTCCCCATTAGCATGGCAGGATGCCAAATATCGTCCCATAAGCAGTGATGTAGCGGCCGCTTGCTGTCGAGCCGTTCGTGTAGGATCATTTTTGGCAAGGCTCTCAGATTGCAGTATGCGGGAGCACTGAAACGTAATGGAACCACCATCATCGTTGTCACTGCTGCTACTGCTGCCGGCACTGCTGTCATCGTTACCATCTTCGTTCTGTTCTTCGTTATCACCATTATGAATTTGTGGTACAAAACAAATGGAAGCAACCGACGATCGACTGGCAGCAGCTCCCATGGGAGTGTCAGCCCCTGTTTGATGGTCCATTGTAGTTTGCAGAGTTACCAAAGGATCCAAAGGAACGTCACCTTGGCGATTCTTCGTTTGGGATACTGGCGTGTCATGGTTCCTTCGATTACTAGTAGTATCATCAAGATGGAGCTGAGGTTGCAACATCTTCCTTGCCTTTTGGAAGCGCTACGAATCGAGAAAGAAACGAGGTTTGGTCGATGAGGGCCGTGTGAGAGTGATGGGACTGACCATATTGGTAGGGTTGAGGGTTTACTCTGCAAAACATTGTTTTTTTAAATTAAATTTCGCTCATTTGCCTCTTTTGGAACGCGTCAGCTGAGGTACGTCATCGAACTCCAGTAGAAGGAAAACGGGACACCCAGATTCATTCTATTTTGCCTTCCAATGCCACGACAACAGAATCCTTTTCCTGGCATTGCTTACGTTGCTGTGTCTTACACTTTGGGCATACGTGTTGAGGCAACCAGCATATGGCCGCAGTATGTGTCTTTGTCTGACGAGTGCCATGTTCCCGCCTCGAAGTGCGTCGGATGCGGATTTTTGTTCGGCTCATATATTCAAACAGTTGAACCTGTTCCCAATCGATAATTGCAGCTAGCTAGAGACCCGACGACAAAATGGCAGAAGAAGTTTTGGTACCCCTCAACGATGCCCCTGGCACCTTGAGCCGCAAGAGCTCCTTTGGATCCGACAAGGACGTTGGTCTTGAACACAAAGGAGACCACGACACTGTGGAGTACCGTCTTCATGCTGTTCACGGCGAAGACTCCGACAAGCGTGTCTCCCTCTGGCACGATATCAGTCTGGTCCACATTGACCACACCACAAAGAAGAGCACCAACTGCTTTAACTTTGTCTGCGAAATCCCCAAGTTCACAAGGTGCGAAGCCGAAAGCAGATGATTCATCGGTGCCATTATTGCATGGAGAAGCATTGCCAGTGGTGATTGGATGCGATATCATGAATGAATTCTAAACGTATACATGCATTTGTGTTTTGTTTGTACAGGAAAAAGTTCGAAATTGCCACTGATGAGGAAGGAACTCCCATCAAGCAGGACACCAAAAAAGGAAAGCTCCGTGAAGTGAGTTGTTTGTGGTTTTCAAAGCTTCATGGTACCTGTAGCATGGATGCGCGTGCTGACCCATTTTGTTTTGTTTTTGGTCCCTACCAACAGTTCAAAAAGGGAGATATTTTCTTCAACTACGGCTGCTTCCCTCAGACTTGGGAAGATCCCACCTTTATCCACCCTGATGCAGACGGATGCAGAGGTGAGCACCAAAGAGTTGCAGGAGTTGGCTGTTGCCCGGGTTGAGAAAACTCATGTTTGTTCTCCACTCCGGCTTTGCAGGCGACAATGATCCTCTTGATGTCTGTGAGATTGGAGCGAGGATTGTCCCATGCGGTGTAAGTTGACTAAAAAAACGCGGCCAGACAACAGAACTCTTCCTTGTAGGAATTCCGGAACTTACCGTGATTGCATTGCTTGTGATTATTTCACCGTAGGGTATCCGCCCTGTGAAGATTCTTGGAATCCTTTGTATGATTGACGAAGGTGAATGTGACTGGAAGGTCGTTGTTATCGACGCCGAAGATAAGTGGGCCCCTTTCCTCAATGATATTGACGATGTGGAACGGGAAATGCCAGGTATGCTTGGCGCCATCCGAGAATGGTACCGTACCTACAAGATCCCCGACGGAAAACCACCAAATGTGTTTGGATTACAGGAACGTTTCATGGACAAAGAATACACCATGGCTGTCATCAAAGAGTGCCACCAAGCCTGGGAAGAGCTCGTCAGTGGTGAAAAGGAACGAACTCTTGATGGACACGACGACGAGGTAAAGAACCTGGTCCGAAATCTCTCCAAGGGAAGTCTGTTTGCCCTCATGGAAAACGTCGATGAGCATCCAGAGTATGGTCGTCCTGATGACTTCGAGACCCATTCTGCAGAGGATGGCATTTTCTTCTAAGAAAAAAGGAGTGACACAACAAGCAGTGTATATCTCACTGTCCATCGTGGATGGTCTGGACTGGGACTGAATCGCAGTGCCTATTAGATGTTTGTTAATAGTTCAACTTAGTGTATGTTTTTCTCTTCACTGTGGCGTCGTCAGCGTGGCTCGGTGCTGCCCTTCTTGTGATGATAGGTGAAGAATGGATCACAGGCATGGCTGCTTGGCCCAATAAAGGAAAGCCAGTCCTTCGACGCTCGAGTACAGTATGGGTGCTTGAAGGTCCAAGCCAATTTTGCTCTGGAGCTGCACCGTACTTGGTACCGGTTGGTTGTCTTCCAACCGAGGGCTGTCCCTGTCAGATACGGTGCGGTAGTCTAGTACTTGCAGAGTGGGTCCGAGAGGAACCAGTCTTCGAGCTATCCGCCAAAAACACAGAAGTAACGCTGCATGTCCCGTCTGTGCTGGCATTCGAATCAATCCTGTGTGCCAAAATATCTCGCTAGCTAGTTGAGTTTGCTTCTTCAGCCAGCTAGCTAGTTGGACGAACGAAATTATTGTGTTGCCAGCGAATCCTGGTTGCCGTGGTATCGGGTATTCCACTGGTCGCCGCGTCCTTGCCTTGTGCCTTATGTTCTCACGCAGTGTAGTAGTTACAGTTTTATTGGACTTGTTTCGTACAAGATACCCACAGCAAGATACTATAGCCGTGTCGTACCTGGACGTATCGTATCGTAGGCAAGCCTCCACCTAGCTAATAGTTAGTTGTGCCACAGGCAAGCAAGCAGTAGGGTTACTTTTTCTTCTGGTCCAAGAACCCTTTCTTCATGCCACCTCCAGCCGCAAACGCCTTTTTGCTGTTCTTCACACGTTCCTCTTCTTTGATCAGTTCTTGTGCCGCCTTCTCGGCAGCATCTGCCTTATCCTTTTCGGCTTTTTGCTTCATCTTTTCAGCGTTTACTTTTTCTTCAATTTCCTTTCGTCTCTTGGCCTGATCGTCCAGTGCCTTGGCCTCTTGTTCATGCTTTTGCTTCAGCATTTGATGATATTGCATCGCCTGTCTCCAAATGGCCTGTAGTGTGCACAATGATGAGGACCAATGCGTCAGCAACATGGCCAACAAAAACAGATCAAGGACGACCACCTGTAGCTGAATGAAAAAACCTACCTGACTCCAACCCGGCTCAATCTCATCCGCTTCCGCTCGGACTTCTTCCACTTCTTGCGACACCATGGCTTCGGCATTCTGATAAGCTCTCCACTGCTTGACCGAACACATAGACTGAGAGTACAGTTTATTCATGCCAGCCGATTCCTTTTGTATATGTGTGACTACGGGAATATCGGCAATTGCTCGCTTCATCAGAGCTTGCGCCATGACTCGGTGGGGACCTTGGTTTTCTGCTGATTTGGCCTAATAAGGTAATAAAAAGGCATGGGCAAAAAGGAAAATGAGGATACAAAATAACCAAAATATTGTCACTTGTATCATGCATGTATGTGTGAGAGCTACACACCATTCCTGGTTTCCATCCAGCCGACTCGCACTTGGCTCGGATGGTATAGTATTCGTCTACTTCTGCTGGTAGCTTCAAATTAAACTGCAACAAGGAAAGGCAGAAAAGAAAGGGAACAAACAGGAAAGAATATGAGACAATTGCTGCATACAGTCAGTCAAATAAATCAGGAGGAGTATTGGCCCCCCAAAAGGGGCCAACGGATGGACGAAAATCGAGTCAAGTCCAAGGACGATAGATAGAGACGCCTGTACACACCTTCTCTCCATCGAGATTGGAAAAGAAATCGTCCTCTTCCTCTTCTTTTTTCTTTCGCTGATAAATGACAAACCCAATCAAGAAAATGACCACGGCAATCAGCAGGTAGATAGCTGGGTCAATGGCCTTGGCTACCTCCTCCATAGTTTCTTCCCCTGCCCCAGCTTCCTCTCCTCCTGTGAACGCTTCTTCTTGACCTGCTCCTGCATCTTCTCCAGCATTTTCAAACGTTGTGCTTCCATCGGGTTCTACGTTGACTTCCACCATCTTGCTTGGGTTGGATTGGCTGAGTGTTTACGGCGGAAATTCTTTTGGCGGTCTAAAGCAGAGATTGGTACAGTAGCTACCTCCACACCTTTTTTCTATCTCTAACGTCTATCTATCAAGTCAAGTGGATTGTTCCGAGATAATGCAATGCAACAAGGAGAGCAACTAACTAAATAAACCAAGGACAAACAAACGTGGAACAGCTTCCACTAGCTAGTCGAGACGTCGAGACCCTTCCCTTGTGTATCGTTGCTGTGCTTGTTGTGTGTGGGGTGCACCAGCGGCAAGCAGCATCGCATTGCAGGCCACAACCACAATTTTCAGTCCTACGTACGTCTCTGGTAGTCGAAAAAGAGTTCAACTTGATGCGACGGGCAGACTCGCAGACCTTCCACATTCGTCTTCCACGTTGCACGGAAGAAGGCCAGACGAGTCGTTGAAGAAATAATATGTTTTGGGAATAAGTGACACCCGCAACGTCAGTCACCATCGCCTCCCTCCACCCAAGAAAATCTTGGGTTGTTGCTGTTGACTAAGACAGCCTTCTTGTTGACACCTTTCGCTCTGTCTGAGTCGATTTCCTTCACTACTTGTTGTCTTTTCCTCTTGAAGCCAAACATCTTTTTGTTGCTACCGATCCGATTGGAAAGCACTCAGGGCATCACTTCTCTTCTGCTTACATCTATCCCACTCGAGATACTATGCGAGTACCTTCCTCTACCTTGGCAGCACTCTCCCTGCTGGCCACTGCTTCGGCCTTTGTCCCTCACTCCATTCGATCGGCTTCATCGACGACAACCCCTCGCTTTGGTGTTGTGGACCCATCACTCTTTCATGACCTGCCACATCAAGTCCAACATGCATTCACTTTGTTGGCAGATGCCGACTTGGATAGTCTGACCGATGCTGCCACTGCCGCCGTGGCTCCAGCTTCCGATGCTGTCACTGCTGCCGCGGATGTCGCCGGGGAAGTTGCCAAGAAGGATAGTGGATGGTTTGGATTCTTGACAGAACCCATCTCCATGCTCTTGCAAGGCATCCACTCAGTTCTCAATGTTGGAGGAATGAATACCAATAGTTGGGGTGTCAGTATTGTAGCATTGACCGTTCTCATTAAGGTCGTCACATTTCCCCTTACCAAAACACAGTTGGAGAGCACCAACAAGATGCAGGTAAGCAACAAGAATACTGAGATACTGAATACTGACTGCTCCTGGGGGGTTATTCATGCACTGATGATCGATTGATTATGCAGATCTCACAACTTGCCGCACCCCTATGTACAACTGCTCGTTCGTTCTTTTCATAGGCCCTCCAACCGGCAATTAAGGAAGTTCAGGCCAAGTACCAGAGCAACCCCGAAGTCATGAACCAAAAGGTTGCAGACCTATACCAACAAAATGATGTCAATCCATTGGCTGGATGTCTACCCAGTTTGGTCCAGATTCCGGTCTTTATTGGCCTTTATCGAGCCGTCTTGGAGCTCGCACAGCAAAATGCTCTCGATGAACCATTCCTATTCTTGCCCAACTTGGAAGGACCAACCTATGGTGCCGATCCTGCTCATGGAACTGATTGGCTATTTCAGGGATGGTACGTAAAAAGCAAAGAAACCCAGCTTGATGCGGATTGGTTGTGTATTCTCTGTTCGTAGAACTCACAGCAAATTCTCTTTCTTCTCTTGCAAACAGGGTCGACGGAGTGCCTGCACTTGGCTGGGATGACACCATTGCATTCGTCGCATTGCCAATCTTCTTGGTCATCTCTCAGGTCATTTCCATGAACCTCATGCAACCCAAAGACCCAGCACAACAGCAGAACAATGTCGTTTTGAAGATTCTTCCCGTCATGATTGGATGGTTTGCATTGAATGTCCCAGCTGCTCTTACCATCTACTGGGTTGTAAACAATATCGTTACAACCGCTACTACTTTGGCTATTCGTAATTCCATGGACTTGACACCAGCCGGAGCATCTGGCGGAGCCGCCGTTGCGGAACCAACGCCATCTACAATCTTCGCTCCTCCCCGAGAGAAGCCTGCTGGCTTTGCTAGCCCTGCTGCCTCTGAGCCTCCTGTTGTGGATGTATCAGGTGTCAAACCCCTCACTTCCATTCAGACAGCCGAGGTTGTGGATGTTGTCATAGAAGAGGAAGCGGCGGTTGCAGAGGCAGACGTGGCGTCGGAAGCCGGCACAGGAATGCAATCATCGGACGACACCGGTGGAAGCAAAAAGGTTAGTTGAAGTGGACTTGGCTGCTCTTGGTTCTGTTTGTTTTCTATCTCGTCACGCATGTTCTCACCACGATTGCTGTTTGGCATAATGTAGAAGCGTGGAAAGAAGCGAAAGAAGAAGAAGAACTAAGCTAGTCGCTGCACCAACAAGTGGTAGAACGGCAGGCCAACTTCCCAGCCGTTTGTAGTGATCAAGGCAGGCCAAGACCCTGGTTCTCGTTCTAGAAGGGCAAGCACAAGAAGAACAATCCGATCTAAACTAGAACATAAATTGAAGATTGTGTTGTGATATCAACTACCTTGCATCTTACCGTATCTGCTAGTATCTTTCCAGCCAGAAAGTTTGACACTCCCTCGGCCTGTGGTGTCACACCCACCAGCATCATCCCACGTATCAGTTTTCAATGTTGCATTCGGTGTACTCATCTTCCCTAACTGAATCTAGATAGCTAGCTAGACTCCTTTACCAAGACTAAGTGAACCCAAAGCTAGTCTACCGTTCCACAGTCTCAGACGCGAACACGAAAAATATGTACAAAGCGTCTATGTTATTTGTAGCTTTCTAGCTAAATTGAGCATCAAATCACCACTTGTACTCTTGCTCGTAATCACGCCATTCGTCACGAATGACCACTTGAAGATGCTTCAAGCTCTTATTGATCATTCGCCGAACTTTGTCAGGTTTCAATCCTACCACCTGGCTGACATTTGCAATGGTCATGGGACCCATGCCGTACTCCGCGGGAAGATCATCTCGCAACCCATATCGGAGCAGCAATAATTCAACCTCCTCGGGGGTCAAGTGGCGGTTCAAGGTCTCAATCAAGTCTTGCCGAAGAAAGATGTGTTTCAGTTTGTTGTAGTCTCCTTCATCCGTCTTACTGTGGACAATATCGATGAGTGTATCTGTGGATCTGTCTGATCCCATTGGTTTTTTGGTGTTTTGGATTCCTTGATCTAGCGAGAAGAATCGTTGGTTCATTGCTGCCAGGCACCGTTGTACTTGGATTTCGGACATGCCAATCGCAGCTCCTACCTCCGCATTAGATGGTTTTCGACGAAGAGCCACTTTCAACTCACTCGCCGTGCGCAGAATACGCTTATGATTTTCATACAATCGCTGGGGCACAGGTGCAGGGCGGGACTGGACAATCTGAGAACGCTTGACAGCGGCCCGGATCCAGTACATCGCATAGGTTGAGAAGCGGAAGCCTCGTGTAGGATCAAACTTCTCTGCCGCTCGGATCAGCGCCTAAAATAATGAATGTGATGAACCATACTGTAAGTGAACAATACCGCCATCCAGAGCTTCCAGAAATAATGCGAACGGGTAGAACCTACCATGATACCCTCCTGCATCAAATCACCGGCGTTGTACTCGGCGCCCAACCCATTGCGGATGTACGTGTTGACAACTCCTTGAACCATTCGAAGATTGGATGTCACCAGCACATTCTTTGCTTCGATGCCCTCTTCAATAGCTTGACTGATGGCTTCCAGGTTAATCTTTCCAGCTGCAGCGCACCATTCCTCATCCGTTGGCGGTCGATACAGCTTTTCCGTGAGGTCATCATGCAGATTTTGTAACCGAATCGCTTCTTGTGTCCTCTCGCCCAACTCGACTTCCTCCTTGGGTGTGATTCGGTCAATTGTGTGAATCTCATTGGCGAATTGTACCAGACTGTCTGGGACGGATGCACTTGACTTATACATGGCTTCTCCATTAACCTGACGGCGCTTCTTTCGTAACTCTGGCGTGTCCACATATTTCGCGATCTTCTTGCCAGTCTGTTGTTCCACAAGCTTGATACCATCACGGAATGCCTTTTGTCGACCCGTCATTCCGCCTGTCCTAAATCCGGGCATGGTGGATGATTGCCGTTTGCTTCGTTTGGCTTTTTCCCGAGGTGGCTGCTTGGATGATGCCGCCGCCGCTTTTGTGGAAGAATCCACTCGAGCCATCTTTTGCATTTCCCGTTGCACCTTTTGGGAGCTCTTTGCTACTTGCGCCGCTCGACTGGTCGATTTCAGAGCAATCTTTGGTGGCACCTTCCGCTTGTTGCTAACCACCTTGGTGGAACCATTAAGACGCCGTCGACTGGGAGGAGCTGGCATCAACTCAATCTGCTCTCTTAGCATAACCTCCGGATCCGCTAGCACATGAAGCCTGGTAGTATCACTGCCGTGACGTCGTTGGCTACCCAAAGGATCCCATGTCGAAGAGGAAAGACTAGCAGACACAGAGGGCGACATAGTATAAGGCAAAGGAGATTGGAAAGCTCCCACGGCAGAGACGGAAATGGCGATTGCCGAAGCGACGGTAGCAAGTCTTGCTACCCTACTTCGCTTCCTTCCCATTGGCAAGTTAGAGCGTTGCTGGGCCAGAAGAGATTGCATCGTCGTATATCTTGCTGGCAGTGCTTGCGACAGAAATGGTAATTGTTGATACAACGGCAGAGATTTGTGCAGAGTAGAGGAGGTGGGAGGTCTTAGAGATTCTCGCCGAATGACAGAGTGAACGTGCTAGATAGTCAGATTACTCGTCGTGGACAATGAGAATGTACCAGATGGAAATGCTATCGTATTCTCACGTCCATAGCCACACTCCAGGCCGGAGGGGATTATTCTGGCTGATGCTATGGCTGACTCTGGGAGTGTTTGACTCACTGATGTAGGTCTCTCATTCACTACGATTGACCCATTATTACCATCAGCAGGAAACGTACTGCAGTAGCGTATCGTACCCTTGAGGTGGTCGAGCAGAAGAATAGAAAAGAGCCATCCAGAGCCTATCAAAAAGCAGTGGGAGGTGTGCGTACGTGTTGATCGCATTTCTTGCAGTATGACGTATCTTTGTTGACGGCAAGGCTTACTTAACGAGTTCAACGAAAAGCTCCACGTGGTGTGTCGGTACGCGTCACAAAATCTCTTTTGCGAAAGTGTGCGCTCTTATCGTTTAAGCCAGTTAGCCAGCTTGATCCGGCACGAACCGGTACATAAGGTTTGAAAGCTCCAAAAGTAGAACCGCCATGATCTCCCTACCAATGCCAAGCCCAGGTGCATCTGGGCATGCAAATACATCCAAGGGACATCAATGTCGACGAGCATATTATTTCAAGAAGCTTCGCTGCATGTAAATTCGTGCCAGGGGCATCCACTTTCATGAGCATCTCAAGATTTCCACCTCCAGCTGCATAAAAGCACACATCACACATGGTCATTCCATGGTTAGCGATTCTCATGGGCACATTCCAGCATCTCAAGATTTCCACTCAGAGCAGCACCTTTGCATGTGCATTCATCTCAGGGACCGCCATGGCGGAAAAAGAAAGAGCATCGTTTGCACGGCTCACCTTCTTGGGCCTTGTCTTACGGTACTGTCAACTTAGGGTATAATCATCACACGCAGTGCATTGTTCGGTTCGGATTGGAACTCGGTTCATGGCTTTCTCTTTGCATTCAATAATGCAACCAGTAGGGCTGGTTCTAATGTACGGGTACTGATCAATCTGGGTATGGTTCTAGCAGATGGAAATCGAAAAAAGGCTAAAACCTACATAGTCCCACGCGTGGATTGAAAAAACCTCGACTTGCCATTTCTTCAGGCTTGTGTCTGGTAGATTGGAGTAAGTCTCAAGTTGAAGGGCGCGACCTTGGTTGAAGCTCCATGTTTTGTACTGAAACGGATTGCACTCAACTAATGCGCATTGCTTGGTTGTTGCATATAGTGTACTTGAACGCACTTGGACAGCTTTGTTGGATTGAGCTTGAGAAGGAGAATCGCAGGTTCCCGTTCCGTGTTCGTGGACTGTACCGCAGAGACATCCTATTTGCCCTTCTTGGTTTCTGAAGCCTCCTTTCTAGCGTTCTTTCCAGAATCTCCATCATTGGTTGATTGCTTGTCGGCCTTCTTGGCTCCCGACTTCTTTTTATTCTTTCCTTTCTTGTTCTTGCTCTTTGCTTGTGTGGATACCACCTTGTCTGTCGTACCTACATTCTTCCGAGTTTCCGGTGGGACCATGCAAAACTCTATTAAAACGTCCTTTGCCGGCTCGAGCAACGACGCCACGGCATTCACAGCAAGGAGAGCATACAAAGCAACAGCAAGCTTTCCTGCATCTGATTTGGGAGATATATCTCCATAACCGATCGTGGTACCTTCAGAAGAGAGGCGTTGTGGTGTAAGAACAACGAGCTCAATCATGCATAAATGGCACCCCGAAAGTCATGCTCACCTGTTATGATGCTGAAATAGGCTGCTTCAGACTCGCTCATTTCTTCCAAGAGGTAGCTGAACAGAAAAATGCCTGTTGCAACTGTGGAAGACAGCAAGACCACAGCTCCTTCCATGGGTAGATTGTGCTTCCACGAGGCTGCTAGATCCATAATCGGCCCACAAAACATTCCCAGGCCAGAAAACGAAAGTATCACGATAAAGGTTCGTCCAGCTCCCGATATGTCTCCAGGGCAAATGTCCCCAAAACCAACACTTCCGAGAGAGAAAACAAATTCGGAAAACCGATGTTATTAGTATCACGTGTCATCCTTGTTTGAATACCTGTTAGAAGATACCGGCACAATGGGAAGGCAACCAGTTACTCACGTCGTTAGAGTCATAATGCTGCAATACACAGCATTGACCCACTTGGTACCTCCGGCATCTTCGGCAATCATGCCAGGAATGTGATGGAATCCAAGGGCTCCCACGCAAACAAGCGTCACACCCAATGCTACCACTCGAGCCGTTGAGACTTTCCCACCTTCCGACATTGCTGTAGATTGAGGGTTGTAGAGTTACATGTACTCTCGACTGGTATATGTATGTGACACCACTTCTTGTGTAGTTTGGTTATGGTGTTGCCGGTCGAGGATCGAGGATCGAGGAGCTGAAAGTATCCAAAAGATTGCCCTCAACGGACTGAGGGTCTTTCACACTTTTATCGCTGTATGTGTGTGTGTGTGTGTGTGTGTGTTTGTGTGTTTGTTGCAGCTGTTTTCGTCGCTCGTTAAGGATAGGGATTAATCTTGTGTGTTCTGTTGGACACAGTAGTTTCTACGCATGGGTACCAGTACTGGCTGGCTATGCAGACTCGCTAGTGTGTCCAGATAAACACGGTGGAGGTTTTGCCAAAGACATAAGGGACATTTTCCTTGTTAAGGATAGGGATTTGTATTGTGTGTTCTGTTGGACACAGTACTCTGGACCCATGGGTACCGATACCACTGGGCCCGTACTGGCTGGCTATGGAGACTTGCTATCAATAGTGTGTCCAGTTGAACACGGTAAATGATTTGACCAATCAAATCTCTTTTTGACAGTTGAGGGCATCAGCCTCCGGCTGCTTGTTCTTAGGGCAGGAAGGTTCAGTCTGAGGCCAACCTCTAGAGAGATCTTTTGACGCACCGTTGGCCATCAAAAGATCACGAGTGAGTGCTTTACTCAAAGCAGCTCTCAGAGCCCAGTCAGTGCTTCACACGATGCTTTACTGATGAGGCTGTCATTGGCGGTCCATTAAAACAAACAAAGCTTCGAAATAAGTGGTGTTACTACTACTACATGTAGTCCTAGCCAGGACTGCAAGTGGTGTACTATTACTCTCTCTTGAAGCATAGCAGGGATCGAAGAAGGCTACTGGTACAGGATGAGTAACCGAGGACTGGTGATGGAAGCTGTGTCAAGATCGGTGAAAACAAAGTTGGAAGTGGTTGTATGGTACCCTGTATCAGAAGAATTCAACAGGAGTAGTCAGTCAACAGTGGAGCTACAAGAGGACTACCACATGAACCAATACCATTCTCAGTGAATTCTGTACAAGAAAGACCAAATGGCATCAAGAACCACAGAACGTTACCAGAGCATCAACACCATCTCCCAAAGCGTCGCACCGTCAAAATTCCCAGCATGAAAAAAACACCAAGGAAGAAGTACCACCTGTCATGCTCCGTGATCATACAAAAGGGCTGGGAATGTACCAATGGTGCTTCCACCAAACGGCTTCATACGCAAAGAGATACAGCAACTGCCTGATGAATTAATCTGTGGTCAAGAATCGGCTGGAAGCAAGTTACTCATCACAATGCCCACTGCTTGATTCGAGAATGCACTGGAAATTATACTCTATAGCAACAGGAAATCAACTGCAAAAATGAGGGCCAGCACCTCTCTGGTATGGTACCGTCTAGGTGCCGGAGCTGTTGTCCCAGCCCGTAGCTGTACTGTGATCCCTTGTTTGTTGTCCCCGCCTGGAGCTGTTGTCCAGCATGTAGTGGTGTCCCAGCCTGGAGCTGTTATCCCAGCCTGTGATATAGCTGTTGTCCCAGCTTGAGTGTTCCACCTGAACTGTACTGTTCCCAGCCTGAAGCGGTTGTCCAGCCTGAAGCGTTGTCCCAGCCTAAGTGTACCACCTGACTGTTTTCACTGACTTATGTTGTCCAGCCGAGGTTTCCTGGAGCTGGAGCTGTTGTCCCACCTGAAGTGGTTATCCCCTGAGCGAGCGGTTGTCCCTTTGTCTTGTCCCAGCTGAAGGGTTTGTCCAGCTGGGCTGTTGTCCCAGCCTGAAGCGTTGTCCGCTGACGTTGTCCAGCTGAAGCGTTGTCCCGAGCTGAAGCGGTTGTCCACCGGGTATGTTCTACACCAAATTGCTACACTTGGTTAAATCCTCTACAACTGTACATGCACAAACAGCTTGCCAAATAATCTAGATTCACCGTAATCCTCTGTAGGCATTCCTAGGAGTTCATTGAAGTTTTGTAAAATGTCTTACTAGCTTTTTATGAACTGGGTTAAATCAGCTAGCCTTTTACATCAAACCATAACCAGTAGTGATGGTTTAAAGTAGTGAAAGGATTTCCTATGAACACAATCCTTACTAATTACTAGTGCATGCTTTAACACCAAAAGCACTTCAAGAGGCCTCTAATTGCAGAATCAGCTTTTGTACTTTTGCCCTATTCAAAAGAGCCAAAGTAAATTGCACGAGCCACCCCAGACCCCCTTCTATGTTTAAATCGTGAGGTGACCTCACGAATACGAAAAGACACCTATCTCGACAGACCCACATTTGCTCCACGTCAAATCAAAGGCATCAAAAGGCATTGGAGCTCAACAAGGATTACAAACCGTACTGTATGCGAGAACACTCAACAAGAATCAAACCATCACTGCAGTAACATAGTTTCTTGCCAGCTAGCAGCCAGAGAGTACTCGTTGAGGCTAAAGGAGAAATCATCACATTCAGGACAGAATTCGGAGACTACTTTGCACTTGGTATACCATGAATCACTTGTTGCGTGGTCGAGTTGCTGCCACTCAAATCATCACTTGTGGTGTCTTGAGAATGCAGCTGCAAAGAGTTCCAAGATTGCCATCTCCTCGTCTCTTCACAGTTCTCGCAAAAGAAGAGCCCCCATTTGTGGATGTTGTTGAAACAAGGGCCGAAAAATCTTCAGGTGGGAAGGAGTGCGGAGTTGCTTTTATTTAGTGTTTTATGTTGTCTTTTCTAACTAACCACGAGTATCTTCTCATGTTCCTTCCTTTCTTTGAATCAAATCCCAAGTACCGCCGGTAGCAGAGAAAACACCAGAGAAGGTGTTGGTGGAATCATGTGGCAATGTTTCAGAAGATGATGATGATGACGAAATGGAGCAGGAGGAGATGTTTGTGGATCCGCACGAATCATTTGAACATCGAGGACGAGAGTGGGGTGGTCCCCGCCGAGGCGGACGACTTCCTGAACCTACCAGATTTGGTGATTGGGAGCGAAAAGGACGTTGTACAGACTTCTAACTATGGATTGCAGTTTGCTACTTCATAAACATGCTAGAGTGCACCCACTGTCATGTCATTGGAATGCAACGACCTGCATGGCTCTTTTCCTATCATTCTGTATTCTCTACTGGCCCTTCCACAGAAGCTGCTGGGTACCGTAGGAGATTGGATTTCTTCATTCATACTAGCTAGCTTGTAGATGGTCCAAGCTGTTGATGAGGGACTACTTAAAAAAACTCCAGATCTCTTCCAAAAGGCAACGCCATGTTCCGAACTTCTCTTCTGTGCTGGGAAAGCTCAGGAAACCAAGGTCTAGCAGGCAAGACAAGCAAACACATTTGCACCGACAGTGAACTAGCTACATGCCTGGTGCAAGCGATTTGAAGCTAGCTAGCACCACTTGGATGAAGACACAGCCCAGCCAATAGACAAATCCAGCACCGGTAAGCTACAGTACAAACAATGACAAAGGGTTGGGTAGTTTCGAATTGGACGGGGATATCACATAGATCCATCCCTGAAGCCTGCGCCTTAAAACAGAACTAGGTCTCTGCTTCTTTTTTACAAGTTAGTTAATCCCATGAACAGAGTGCACAAGGATCGCCACTGTTGCTTGGCCGTAACACAGTGTTTGGAATGGAATGTACGGTACTGATCTGTTGGCCATCATCAGAAACGTTGCTGTTTCATACTGCAGCTATCTGTTAACCAGTCTTCTTTTTCAACTTGGCAACCTGTAGCCTTCCCTTGCTTCATTTTATGAGGTACGGTAGGATGACATTCTGGCTACCGTATTTGTTGTATGCCGTAGTGTTTAGAGAGAAACGCCCCATGCAGACCCGCCATGCTCTAGCAACGACATCTCCACTACAAACCCTCACGGATGCAAATAACAACTCCGCCGCAAACAGATTGCTGAATAAAAACCTCATTCGGCAAGGCCAGGCATGCTACATCAATTTTGTTCATTTTCAAATTCAATATTCACTAGACTCTATCTTTTGCTAGATGGTGTGTATGTACCAGCGCCTCGATCCGGCCTTTGTATGTTGTTGTTGTGCACAGGCGAAAGCAGTTTAAAAATGATTCGAATCATTCTTTTGGCTCCGCGGCACTCAAAGATAGCCGGATTTGCCTGTTTTTCTGCTCTCACAGCATTTCGTCGTCGTCCACTAATCAATCCCCCGCGTACGTCCACTCACTCCAATCTATCTACTCGTCCTTTTTGTCATCCGCCGTTGCCATTTTTTGCGCTTCCGCCATAACGTCACCTGCAACCTTGGCTACATCCCCGCCAATGGATCCAGCCTGCTTTTTGGCATCCGCCAAGGCAGCATCAATGCGCGACTCGTTTTTCTTTAGTAGGTCCTTCAAAAAGGAATCGTACAGGAATTTTGCTCCTCGAGTTTGAGGAAGAAACGCCCACAGCAGAAACGCCATTTTGAATGCATAATAGAAAGGAATCCAGTAGAGGAGGAAATCGGCAAAGACCTCAATGATGGAGAAGAATGCGAAAATGATCCAGTACACCAGCCATTGCGTGTCGTCGCCACGGATCTTTGTCTCGATCGCCTCAAAGGATTTGAAGGCCGGGTAGCAAAAGCCAACCACGCTGCAGAGCGATCCTGCGCCAACACCGAAAAAAATGATAATGACAAGCAGGGCACCGACTCCCAAAACCAAATGCTCCTTGGGAACCTTGGCGGTCTCCTGCAATGACAAACCGAAAATGCCGCAATGGACAGACAAAGAGAAGAGTGAGTTGCGAGCGGAACGATCACAACATTCTCTCACAGTCATATCGTTTGCTGCGTCCCGGACGTCAAAGAGAGAAGGGAACCCTCCTTGATGGCAAAACGCCGGGAAAGATCCGCATATCTTCTGTGTCCACTCACCTCCAACTGCTGAAGCACCGGGATTTGATCCAGATGGGTGCGCAGGACACCCAGCTTTTGTTGAACTACGTCCATTTTTTCAAAGAGTCTCTTTCAATCAATACAAAGGCAATGCTGCGGTGGGATAGCACAATGATCTCCTCTTTCCCTGGGTCTGTTTGGTGCTGTTTCGTGTGTGATGAATTCAAAGAAGACAGAAGGCAGATGGCGACCGGCATTGCATTGGTAACAATCAAAAGAACTTTGAGGCTTGCCTGGCGCGGTTCGCGCATTTTTATTTTAGCCATCTAAGCTGTGAAAGAATTTAAGCCTGCGAAAGATAGATACTGGCACTCTTTTTTTCGGTCTCCCCCCGAGATCTCATCGGACACATCATTGCACCCCTCGTAGCACGTTCATCATGCTGCCTCACAAAATGGATCGGATGACATTGGATGACAACCTCACAAACCAACCACAATGACAACTTCTAAAGAAGAGGGAAGCAAGGATGCTGCCGCCGATCCCACGACAACAGAGTTGCGTTCACTAAGCAATGATAAGTCCTGGCAGCTTTCGGTCAATGATAGATGCGTTCGAATTGAATGCCTCGAACCGGACTGCAACTGGACGATTTTGTCATCGGCCGTTCTGAATGGCGGGTTGCAAAAGATCTCCTCCTCCTCGAAGCAGCGCAGTTCTTCTTTGCACATTTTGAATGCAAAAGTTCCAGCAGAATACGATGGGATTTCCCCCGATCCCAAGGAATTGCTACGGCAAATCGGCAGCAAAGAAATCTCCAATGCAAGGAACAGTAGCGCAAACGACACGACCATTGGGTTGCTGACGGCAGCTTCCATGAAAACCCTCCGAGTGGCATCTACACAAGCAACCGGTTCTTGCGGCAAAACATTCATTGTCGATGCAATTGTCACGGCCGGAATTTCCAACTCTCGAGTAGCAGGTGCCGATGCTGATATGTTCTATTTTGTGGCAGATGATTCTTCCAATAGTAATGCTGACGACTCGCCAGACAACGACCAGCCAAAAGACACGACAAACTTTGGAACAATCAACACGATTATTCTTACTAACATGGCGTTGGATGAATCCTCTGCTTTGATTGAAGCGTACACTGTAGCAATCGAGGCCAAGTGCCGCGCCGTCACGGATCTTGGGATCAAGTGTGCCAAACATCCAAATGAAACCGCAACAGGAACCGGAACGGACAGCACTGTACTAGTCACTCCTACTACGGACGACGATCAAGATGAAAGCAAAACAACAGCTATTCCTTATGCTCAAAAGCACACTTTGGTGGGTGAACTGATCGGGCAAGCCGTGTACGAAGCGACCAAAGAAGCCATGCAAACAAATCTCACCGACTTCTACCGAGGCCATGCCTATCCAAGCCTAATGTATCGGTTGCGTTGCTATCGATTACAACTTTGGCACGCCTTGCAAGAGGGACATCTTCCCTTGGTCCCTTCAAGGCCAATGGTGCCAATCCCAACGCCGAGCGGCTGGGTCTTGCTTGTAGGGGTGGTTGGAATGATTTGGACACTGGCAGTTCACATATTCTTGGTTGGCGGCGAAGAAGATGCAGAAGCCGGACAATGTCAATCACAAGACTATTCCATCCTTCCAGAACAGGCCACTCCGGCTCCATCTGCGAGTATTCTATTGGCAGTTCTTTGGGGGGACAGATTTCTGGGTTCCCATTTGATGCCCCTGGCCATACACCCAGTTGTCCTTGTCGGAAAGCTAATCACAAATCTTCTTCGACTGGTACCGGAGCCGTACTTTCAACCGACACATCCAATACTTGGCTTCTTGAGCGGTTGCAGTCTTTGGGGGTGTACAGCCTTCTTTTCCGTGGGAACGGCGTGGTGCGTGTTACAATTGCCAAGACTGGCGGCTCTGCATGTACCGACCATGCTCGGACTTGCTGGTGTTGTCAAGACCAACTTGGATTCATGCTCTAGCACGGTCGATCCTGGTTGGCCAACAACAATCAACTCTTTTCTTGTGTTCGCCAACTGGATACTTCATGTATTCCTTGTACGGGGGGCGTTGTCGCTCCAGCTCCTCTGTAATGTAGCTCTTCAAATGGCGCACTTTCTGGAACGTGGCCAGTTACAAAAGGCGAGAGCACAACTGTCCTGGCTTTGCAGCCGTGACCCTTCCCAACTACAAGCGGATGAGCTAGCGGGTGGTACGCTGGAATCCTTGTCAGAGAACTTGTCGGACAGCGTGGTATCACCACTGTTTTACTATGTACTCTTTGGGCCACTGGGAGCCTTTGCTTTTCGCACGATGAATACATTGGATTCCAGGGTCGGCTTTAGAGGTCGATGCGAATGGGTCGGCAAGTTTTCCGCACGATGTGATGATTTGCTGAATCTTATACCAGCGCGGCTGACAGCCCTGCTCTTGGTGGTCGCTGCTGGCCTTCTGCAGCCTTCGAGTGGTTTTGCTCCAGTTATACAAAAGGGACTAAGCGTTGCATGGCGAGATGCAAGTCAATGCGATTCCCCAAATGCGGGCTGGCCAATGGCCACCTTTGCCGGGATTCTGGATGTGCGATTGGAGAAGCGAGGGCAATACTCATTGAATGGACCCCCGAACGGCGGCACTGGCAAGGCGCCAGGCCATCAAGACATTCGACGAGGTCACACCATTGCTCAGCTTGCGGGGATTCTGGCTTTTCTTGTGGCCATGGCTGCATCTGCAATTTGGAATAGCATATAAAGTTAACCTTCCATCCTCTTGAATATCGTTGTTTCCTTCATTCGCTCTCTTAACTTCATCCTTTCTTCCACGCAGGAAGCACTGGGAACTGGAACGGGAGCAGCTGCTCAGGAACATCAGGAAAGTGAGGTGTGCCCGGCACCCCGAATGACTTACCTGCTTAGTTCGCAAGGGAATGTAAGCAACACTGGTACATTTCCACGACATATTTTGGATGATGCAAAGTTTTCAATTGACGAAACTGCTATCACGGATGCATCCCCACATGAAGGTGCCAACCAGCATGCAAGCAACCCACGTACATTCCACCACATTTTGGATGATGCAAGGTGTTCAATTCTGTCGAAACTACCGTAACATGGATGCATCCGCCCAAGTAGGCGCCAACCAGCCAAGCAATGGCAAATGAATCAATGCCTTCATGGCAAACATTTCAGTATTCCATCACCTCACCACTTCGAAAGAACTTCCAGTGCGTATCAAACGTAGGACACAAATCCACCAGTTCTATCTTGGCCTTCCTCCTCACCTTCAGCCGGAGAAAGCTTACTAGTAACGCTGGCTTAATTCAGTGAATTGACCTCCGAGCTAAGCTGATGAGGAAGAGCGGAGGGTGCGCATGTCTGCATTTCCCATTGCCTTCCTTTTGTTTGCGCCATACATGTAGTGATGCAACGACAACGCCGCGTTCTGTTGGCTGTTACTGGGTCTGTTGCGGCTGTGAAGTCTTGTGAATTGGCGGTCCGACTTGTGGAAGAAGGGAACCAAGTCCGAGTCCTTTTGACGCAAGGAGGTCGTCACTTTTGGGACAAATCGAAAGAATACAACCCAACTGTGTGGCAGAAACTGCAGCAACTCATTCAAGTAGACTCTGCTTTGAAAAGTTCAAGTAGTGATAATGAAGAGTCACAGAACAGAATCCAAATACATGGTGAGAAAAGCAATAAGGTCAACTGTTCTCTTTTGGAATCTTTCTTGATTTACATTCTTGTTCTATCTCACACCATTCCTCGTTTCTCACTAAACAATCAGACTCAGACGAGGAGTGGCGAGATTGGAATCGAATGGGAGATCCCGTGCTGCATATCGAGCTGCGAGATTGGGCCGACATTTGTGTCATTGCTCCCTTGAGTGCACACACTTTGGCCAAGATTGCACAGGGTTTGTGTGATGACACAACAACTTGCGTTCTTCGTGCCTGGGATTTTGGACATGGCACGAGACCTGGAAAACCCATTATCTTGGCTCCTGCCATGAATACTGCCATGTACAACCATCCTTTGACACAACGGCACCTTTCCACCGTACAAGGGTTTTGGAAGGAACATAGTAATGACAACCCTGAAAATGGTGAATCACCCCTTTCGAATCCAAAGACGAAACAGCAATCAGCATCAACTTCGAGCCAAATAATGGAACTGGCGTTGGCAAGGGCTCGAAACCAAACAACTATGGAAGAGAATCGTCGGCGTGAAAATGTAGAAACACAACAACTCATGGAAAAACTGTTCGCCACTTTGGATCAAGAGCAAAGCACCGCGACGGGAGGCTCGGAGGCAATTCAAACCCAGCTACCTGAAAATACATGTATCACAGCATCATCTGCTGACCTTGCCAAGCTCGCTACACAACTGGTGGAACGTCAACGTATTCTAGAAGATGATCGAAAACTTCGAGAAGAAAACCGACGTCGTGAGAATAGTATGATTGAAGATCTCATAGCAAGGGTTGCAACTGTCCCTCCACAATCAACGTCGCACAGCGTCTCTGCTCCAGCTTTGGATCCCCCACCAGCTCAAAGCAACCCCAACATTATAAATGCTACGTGTAGTGGTGTTTTCATTGTGGAGCCTCAGGTCAAAACTCTGGCTTGTGGCGAAGTGGGAAAGGGTGCCATGGCGTCAGTCGACAATATCCTCAGTGCGGTGCGCTCCGCCTTGGATTCGTGTTGACAGAGTGACAGAGTGGGGATGTGGTAGTATTGGGTTGATTTCTGCAATCGACATGGGGGCTTACCACTGCGGATGCTAAATCATAGTACACTAAAAGGTTCGATGAGATCTTGCAGCACACCACAGTGCGGTAGCTAGCCGTAGCGTTTTGAAGGACTTTTACGATAAAAATGCCCACAATAAATACTTTAAAGAATCAACATACTGCACTATTGTAGTTCTTGGGTAGATCGAACGGGTACGATATCCCTTTTTGTTTCGTTCCGGATTGCTCAAGAATGCCATTTCTCTCCTTCCGCCCCCAGCGATGCATTCTGGGACAGAGCCAGCCTATTCACCACACCAGACAAGGGCAGTTCATCGTCTGTCAGCTCACATGGCGGACTTTACGTGATCTTCATCGACAGTTGTGTACACCATTCCCTCGGATTGGAAGTTCTCAATGATCGCTCGCACTTCGGTTTCCTGGTACTGACTAAAATGACGGATACAAGCTTTGACGTCGGCACCAATATCGGATTCGCCTGTTGAATGAATGAATGAATGAATGGCGAGGTAAAGAGGTAAATGAGACAATACATGGATGCGAGCACAGGAGCACAGGCCCAGCACAACATGGAAATACAAGCAACTCACGGCCTCGGTCCTGAATGTATTGCATAATGTTATTCTTGAGCTCATCTCCGCCATTGCTTCCCCCTTGTGCCGTCAACGGAGTACGACCACTTCCACTCGAAGTGCTGCCAAATCCAACTCCACCACCACCCGAAGTGACACCCATCATTGGACTTGCTGGCTGGACAATGCTGTCACGCTGTTTGGCCATTTCTCCCGAATAAACCACCTCCAAAAAATGATGTGTTAATTCGTTGCCGGTGGATAAGGGGCGAACCATGTCGGCCACGGGAGTGATCTTTTGTTCAAAGACATTTAGTTTGGCAGTGACTTTGACATAGAGCATTTCCTTCTGTGTAGATTGTAGCATTTCCTGTTGGGCCGTGCATCCAGATTCATCCAACCACTGCTTGACCTCCACCAAACCCGTCCCATCTTCAATTTGGTACATCATGTGGGTACTGTTGCTTTCAAAGCCTCGAACGGCACCGACCAGTTTGATGTGTGTGAATTTGCGGCCGTCTTCCAGTGTCACCGAACTACCGTCCTCCGTTGATATCACGCAAGAATTGATCATTTTACAAGTCACTGGGATCAATCGTTGTTCATCATAGTTGCGACGATTTCCACTTCCGCCGCCGCCACCACCGCCACCTTGGCTGCTCTGTTGACCAAAGGTATCGCCACCGCCGCCGCCGGACGTAAAGCCGCCGCCACTGCCGTAGGCGTTATCGCCTTGATAATCCATTCCTGTGATGTGAAAGCAGAGTCAATGGAGGGAGAAATAACGTGAGAATCCAATATCATACATCATCCAAGATCAAACCCAACGTTAACTCATGATCGTGGCGTACCATAGTCCATGATGGTTGAAGGAGTGTGTTGATAAGAGCAGATAAGATAAGATAAGACAAGAGCAGTTGAGTATGGTAGCAACAAGTAAGTGTTCTCCTGCCAGGATGTGGGCGGTGGGTGGGGCGGGTGCTGTTGTCTGTTGTTACCTTCAGAAATTCGTGCCACTGGCGCCAGGTTTCAACCGCGCGATCTTTCGCCAATGACGGAATGTGGGAAGCGTGTCGGGCAACCAGCATGAATTGGGGCCACAATCTACAGGGGTCTGCCAGAAAGCAATCAGCTAGAGCTAGCTAGAGCTACCGGCAGGTACATGTAGAGTATGTCATAGATACGAGTAGGTGGGTGCTACTTGCTTGGTTGCCTACCGTACGGAAATTAAAACTGGAATGGAAGATGGAAGACTCCTCCACAGCATCATAAAAACAAAAACCTTGACTGCTAAAGCAAACAGATTGACAAATACTACAAAAGCCATCATGCGCGTTGCACCAACTACGAATGCTTCCCACGGCGTATCAGCCTATCCAGCCCGTTCTGCTCCGAGTAACCTTCGAGGCCCTGGGTACAAGCAGAGTGATGCCAAAGACACAGACACAGACTCTACTTCACGATCGTCGTCCCAAGACTCAACCAAACGGGCTACTGATGATAGGGTGCAGCCAAGGAGTCGACGTGAAAAAATTTTCGAATGCTTCATTTGCTTTGGTGAAGCGTTTGTCTGTATACTTGATATTGTCAACTAATTCCGCGGAAGAAACACAAGCCATATCTGCGCCAGTAAACGTGAATGTTGCTTTTAGAACAAGACTCGTTAATTCAGTTTCGACAAGCAATGCAAACAATAAACGTACTAGAGTTGCACTGATACCTTTCTCTTTGAACCCCTGTATGTCTGAGCATCAAGACCCAACTCCGTCTTCCTAGCTAGCTACGGCATCGTACTGTTGGACCAGCACCTTTCCTCAGCATTACAGTACTGTACGGATACCGGTAGGATCAAAAGCTGCATCCACCAAAGGCCTGCCAACGTTCCTCCAACGTGCTTCCAGATCCATTGGCTTATTTCCAAAAGATACTGACCTTCGAAAACGCACCACCACACACTGTCCTTCCGCACAACACAAGAGCCGCATCTGCACAGAGTGCAACCAATAGAAGAGCCATGCTGTCAACAACCATTGCACGATCCTTCGTTCGCTCCGCCCAGAGACCGTGTGTAGTAAGGGCCTTGACGACCTCATGGACGGGGACATTCACTGGAAACAGTGACCCTTTTCATAATGGGAGCGTTCTCGGCACTCAACCATCGAATTTCAACCATGATCGCTCCAGCCATCAAGGCGTACGAGTAGAATTGCCTGTCATCCTCCAGCAAGGACACCCCGGAACACCCGTCTTTGTGGGGTTTGCACCCATGCAGTTACCAAAAGAAGACCCCACAATGTTTTGGGGACCCCTAGAAGATGATACTGCTACAGGTCCACAATCAACAGAGATGATCGTTGGAGATGAAATCCAAGGGGAATCACTCCAGATGATGAACCGAAATGCCAGATCCAGCAAAAGGCACAAGGCTAATCATGGAAAGAGACCTTGTAATCGAAATGCGAGACGATCCAAGAAAATCAAGCTTGGAAGGCGGCGTCGGTCATGAGATCATCGAGATCTCTGCATTGTCAAATAAATCTTTGAGTGAACTGTTCCTGTTACTACAGGAAGATGGATATACGAGCATGAACTGCACCGGTAACAGGAAGATGGATATGCGAGCATGAATGCGACAGATAAACTACGTAGAATTTTTAAAACTCAATCATCTCGAAGACTCCTCTTGGCAGCATGCTCCAGGTCTGCCACGACATCTTGGGCGGAAAGAATGATTCAATCAATCTAGTAAATTCCAACATGTACCGTTCATCAGCTGTATCAGATGCTGCTGCTTAAGCTGTCCCTCCTGCTTGTTACAGCGGACTCTTTAAGGGCCATGTTCCTGAAGCAGCAGTGTCCACTCCAGGAGGATAACCAGATTTGTTCTTGCAATTGCCGCGACCGCGCTTCCTTTTGGTCACTTCTGCAGTATGTTTATGTTCTCATCAAACACCACATTGGCTGCATATCTTCATCAACCAGCCCCTGCAGTCGAAGACAAGTCAAGCTCCTTCGAGTTGTAGTATTGGCAGAACGGTAACCGGCCAGGCAACTTCCGAGCTACGGTAGCGAAGAAATCAAATACATCATGACAACTGTGTGGGGGGGCAAAGCTTGAGAATTATTTTTATTTAAATGTAAGCGTGATGCACGATGGAGCTTGGCTCGCATCGGACATTACAAATTCGCACGAAGCTTGAAGCCGCCAGAAGTTTAATAACGGTAACTTTCGGGCTTGAAAGGACCATCGACGGGAACACCAATGTACTCGGATTGTTCGGCAGTGAGCTTGGTGAGTTTGGCACCAAGGGCGTCAAGGTGGAGACGGGCGACCTTCTCGTCCAAAGTCTTGGGAAGGACGTACACCTTACCCCGAGTGTACTTGCCAGTGTCCTTCTCGTTCCACAGTTCCAGTTGTGCCAACACCTGGTTGGTGAACGAAGAAGACATGACGAAAGAAGGGTGGCCAGTGGCACAACCCAAGTTCAGAAGACGACCTTCGGCAAGGACAATGATTCCCTTTCCTTCGGAGAATTCGAACTTGTCGACTTGTGGCTTGATGTTGATACGCTTGGCATCCTTCATGAGGCCGTCCATGTCAATCTCGTTATCGAAGTGACCAATGTTTCCGACAATGGCGTTGTTCTTCATCTTGGACATGTCCTTGGACATAAGAATTCCCTTGTTACCGGTGGTGGTGATGAAGATATCGGCAACTCCGACAACATCCTCCAAAGTGGAGACGGTGAAACCTTCCATGCATGCCTGAAGGGCACAGATGGGGTCAATTTCGGTCACGAAAACAATGCATCCACAAGCACGAAGGGCAGCAGCACATCCTTTTCCAACATCTCCGTATCCGCAGATAACAGCCTTCTTTCCGGCAAGCATGACATCAGTGGCACGCATGATACCATCGGGAAGAGAGTGCTTGCATCCGTACAAGTTGTCGAACTTGGACTTGGTGACAGAGTCGTTCACGTTGATGGCAGTGAAGAGAAGAGAGTTGGTCTTCTCCATGGTGTACAATCTGTGGACACCGGTTGTGGTCTCCTCAGAAACTCCCATACAGCGAGTGGCAATTTTGTTCCACTTGTCAGTTTCACCGGCCTCAAGAAGACGCTTGATAATGGTAAGCACAATCTTGAATTCGGCATTGTCAGTGGAGGTGGGGTCAGGAAGGGTTCCATCCTTCAAGAAAAGGTCCTCAGCCTTCTTTCCTTCGTGGATAAGGAGAGTCATATCACCTCCATCATCAACAATAAGGTCGGGTCCATGACCCTTGCCATCGTCCTCGGGCCAGGTGATGGCATTGAGAGTGCACTCCCAATATTCCTCAAGGGATTCTCCCTTCCAGGCGAAGACAGCGGCAGATTCATCACGGGCAATGGCAGCAGCGGCGTGATCTTGGGTGGAGAAAATGTTGCACGAGCACCAACGGATGTCACCTCCGAGGTTCTTAAGGGTTTCGATAAGGACAGCGGTTTGGATGGTCATGTGAAGGGATCCAGAGATACGAGCGGCCTTCAAGGGAGCAGAAGGTCCGAATTCCTCACGGCAGGCCATAAGACCAGGCATCTCAACCTCGGCCAATTGGATATCCTTGCGACCATAGTCGGCGAGGGAAATATCAGCAACTGAAGTTGGATCAATTAATTGTCGGGTAGGAAATGGTATAATAAAAACAACAATTGGAGTTAGAAAATTCTGTAGCTCAATGATCAAAATTGGTTCCTTCCAATTATTAGTAATAATTTACCTTTGTAGTCTCCGGTGGACATGATAGATTTTTGTAGTAGTAGGATGGATAGAGATAACTATTCTTTTTAGTCTTCACAACAACAAGTGTGTGAAAAATTAATTGTGAGGTGAGCCCATCCATCAGTTTTCTTGTATTCTGTGGATCCGAGCGATAAAAGATTGTCATTGCTTGTCTACTGAGACTACGTGGTTTCTACATACGATAGCAACTACCAGAGGTCCCGTTCACAGATTGACTGAACATGGGGCTTCAAAGGCACATGCGCCAACGTGTGCAGATTGCCAGAAAGTTGCGGTTAAAAAGCTTCGAGATACGTTACCCGTGCTACGTACCTCTCCTGCAGAACGTGCAACGTTTTCAGACCGTTCCCACCCAACCTGCAGAGCTAGCTGCGCACTCCCAAAGCTCCGAGTGCCCCAGCATTGGTTGGGACCTCGCTGGTCCTTCCACTCCAGCAAACTCGCAAGCTAGCCAACCGGTCTTCTTGCCTACATGTATTTTGACTATTTTGCTTTCTCCAGGGCAGCGTAGCTATGGCTAGAGGGTTGCTGGCTAGTGGAGAGAGGGAGGTTCTAGCTAGCTACCGTAGTAGATTAGCAGGAAGGCCATCCTTTGTTTGATGAATCGAATCTTGGCAATGACCTTGCGAAGTGCGAGTGTACATCTTAGTCTTTGGGTTAGCTGACCTAGAGCTAGAAAGCGGGGCATCTGCCTTATTACCATTCTTTGTCTCCTACGGTAGCTAGACCCTACCGGTACCGTAAAACCGGTAGTACAGATAGCATTGCGATGGGGGCACGTATCAAGCCAGTCCTAGTAAGAGCAACTGACTGTGGCTGTCTCAGGGCGAGAATGGCTATCAGGAACGGCTTGAGGAACAAACAAACAATGGGACTATTTGAGAGGAGTCTCGCTTGCTGCCGTCTATCAGGACTTTAACGAAGCTGCCCATGGATGGCTCCATAGAGTCAGTTTTCAGCCGCATGGTTCAGTTACGGTATGGTATGTAACTAGCTTTGCAATTCAATCCTCCAATGATGCAACAGAAGGGGAAAAATCAAATCACAATCAGTGCACATGTTTACTTTATCTACAATTTTGTGCCTTGTCGTTGTAGCTTTGCTTTGTACATCTGTTGTGTCTCTTTCCTCAGCACCGCGAAACATGCCCACTTGGCTGCTTTATTACTCATTGCCAGTTGCCACACCACGAGTGCAAAAATCGTGTGATGAGGATTCCTTCATCCGTTGCATAGTTGCATACCGTATGGCTGCATAATATCTACAAATAGATCTTGGTAATGGAATCATTGAAGCCCTCGAGGAGACGGGTTACACCAAGGTCCGGCATCACTCCAGAATAGTCCGTAGGGTCCATGTTGCTGCTGACTTTGGCGTAGACGAATACATTGTTGTCTTGATCGCGGTTGATGCGGATACGATCATCCAAGTAGGTCATCTCAAAGACTGGTTTGGGATTTTTGTAGTTGGGAAGGTTGCTTTCGAGAAAGCTTCCAAGCTGTCGACTCTGCAGCTTCAAACCACTGTCCAGAAGTTGCCTCAAACCAGGTAGATTTGAGCCTTTGATTTCAACTGTGTCCATGAACAACTCCCATGCATCGCCTTCGTCAGAAATGTCAATATCGGCAGAACTGACAATAGCACCTTCGATAGCGACGGGAAGTCCACCGGAATACCTGAACGGGGAGAATTTCCCGATAAAGGGCACCGCTCCTGCCTTGACTTCAAACTCCGAGATAAGGCGACTAGGCGAGACAATTTGTCGGACTGCTCCAATGGTGCTGATTGCCAATGCCTTTCGGTGCATCTCACAAAACCAATTGTACTGCTGGGCTTGATCATCGGTAGAGCACACAGCTCGCCCCGCCATGAAGAATGGCGAGCTTCGAAAGAGCTCTGTGGAACAGTACACAAGCTCCCAACGGCCGTATACCTTGTCTTGCCACATGATTCCACTCATGCTGGATTGGCTATCTTCCAGAGCGGCAATGAGTGCCGAAGCAGAGCTCTTCTCCTCGGAACTGGCAAATTCACCTCTTCCAGTACGAGCTCCAATCTCCAGGAGCTTTTGAAGCGAATTGTCGGTGGGTGCTTCCACGGTTTCGAATTCCTTTCCAGCCTCCTGCATGGAGATTTCCGTATTCACATCGCTTGGTTCATCGCCTTGTGGGCCGCTTCCATTGTCGCTCGGCGCGTCATCCTCTGGAGGGGAAACGTCGCTTGGAGAACCATCATCGTCAGCGGTACTAGCAAGTACTGGTACAAGAATGGATCTGGTTGAATGCTGAAGCCGAGTGCTACCAATGTTGATGGTTGTAAAAGCGCTGGCTGATCCCCAAAGGGCTGCGAACAGGGATACTTGCAGGAATTGCATTGTAGTCAATTATTTGATAGCAACTCAGCTCGTTTTGAGAAGAATAAGGTAGGTCTTGGTGCTCGCCCTTGAGATGAGTGTTCCTTGAAACCCTCTTTCTCCAACAGCACTCCGATCTTCTTTCTCGCCACAGAGCGTTGCCTTCTCCCAACCCGTAAGGAATGCAATAGAAAAGAAGAATGCATCCAAGGCTGACTCAGTGCACGAACCATTTTCCGCGACTAAAGCTAAAAGCGGCCTGGTCACACGACTCGTCACTCGACTCGTCACTCGACCCATTCGACTAGAACTCGAACCATTCGACTAAAAAAAAAGTACACGTCGGTAGGCCGAAGTCCCTCTTGGGACTTGCAAGAGGGAGGCCGGCTAGCTAGCTGTAATAGTAGTGTAGCACTTGGCCAGAGGTCGAACTGGGAAGGGGAAAGCATACAGTACGCTGTACCTCTACCTACATTTCAAACACTTTGGCCAGGCAGTCGCTGCGACAGCAAGCCACAAAGCGGCTGTGCCGCCAAAGAGTTCTTCTTCTTCAACAAGTTGTGCTGGAAGGGGGGCCTTGAAACTGGCTGCACGCTACTAGACTTGAACGGCAACCAAGCTGGTTGTGAGTTGTGTTCCTTCCAACTGTTTTTCAGGTCACTGTCTGAACACCCAACCAACATTGCTGGCCTGGTTGATCGCTACCGGTAGTACCGGTACTCCATGCATTTCATGTGGGGCTACCGGTACGCAGGCCAGTGTGTGTTGTTTTAATTCGCAAATTAGTAGTGCAGCATACCGTTAGTGTCTGAGCGGCGGTATGGCAGTGGAGTGACAGTCATGTCGACTCGTAAAAAAAGCCTGGAGGAATGAATGGCTTGAACAAGCAGCGCAAACAGCCCAAGCCAAATGGAACGTCCAATTGCCTTCCTATGATAGCATGATAGCATGATAGCATGATAGCTGTACATTGCTTGCATGCTTCCTTTTCAATGAAACATCCCACAAAGGCTGAAACGTTGTCGCTACTTGCTACAAACCTATCCGGCATAGTGGCTGAGAAGCGTCATCGTAACCGAACATCTCTGCAGCTCTCGAAGCGAAGGCGGAGGGTAATCGTAGAATGTGAGATTGTGGGAGTCAGAAGGGGTACTAGTAGCTGTATGTAGGTACTGCAGTACGTGTACGCCATTTTACGGACAAAGTCATGCGGTGCCTGTGCGATGTAAAAACTTAGTCTGAGATGTGTGATTGACTTGGTCCAAGACATGCTGTTGCCTTTTGCTGCACAGGCAGGCCGATGGTAAGGACTCGATTGATTTGGGTTCTTACGACCTCGATTTCTTTGATGTGGCTCACAACAAAACACAAAAACTCCAAGGAAAAAAGCAACCACTCCGCAATCGGCACCAAAAACAACTCAATCAATTACATCATGAGCTTTATCGAGAAACACAACATTGTCCACAGCGGGAGCATGCCATCAAATCAGATATGTGGCCTCTGGAAGATCTGGCAAGAGGAGCGAGCAACTCCATCAGGTGCCTCCTTGATCTCGGACATGCCAGTTCCCAAGGCTCACTCGGCCCACATGACTCTCAGCACTACCCATGCGGCCAGCCCAGCCCAAGCGACCCGCAAGTACTTTGCTGGTGTCAACGGTAGACCGGATCGCAGTCATGGCAACATCATTCGAGTCGATACTTCTGCCTTCATGATGTTTGAGGATATCCCTGAGCTTGTCGCCCTCAACCGTTACAGCCATTCCTGAGTTGGCTTCTAACCACAAGGGCACAATACAACGTGAAATCACATTCAGATCTCTTTCAAACATAGCTGCTTCATATCCAGAGCAAGCAAACCAACTGGCAGATTGTCAACAAAGTCTTGTCGGACGCTGCTAGCTGCTGACAACAGGCAGCAAACCAGCAACCACAACAATACCAATAGACCACGGGGGTAGAATTATACAAAGGAGACACGGGCAATGGAACTGCCTCCACCCAGCGAACATCGCACCTCTTCCTACGGTATCTTGGGTATCATCGCTACGGTACACAATAGACAGTCTTCCACATAATAATAAAAGCTTCCCATGTCAACTACAGTAGATATTCCGATACGGTAGGTTCCTCCATTCCTTGCTTCTCAGTGAGTGGACTCACCACCAGAGCAGCCGTCCCGCGGAGAAGGAGACCTCGATCTACACAGTTAAAAGGAAGGTAGCGTGGATGGCGTTGGCGACACCCAAAAAGTTCGCTTGGCTTCTTTCTCGTGATGGCTGACTGGCTGGGTGTATTGCCTATACATGTAGTTACCCCAGGTGGTGTCCAGTCAGATCCAGTTGACCCCAGGTTGCCTTGCGGTTTCTGCGCCGGCCTCCAAATGTGCAGCATTCCCAAAGTGGAGCCGTGTCTTGGGACAGATTCGAGGTACTCTATGTGTAGCACTACCAGCCAAGATGGGCTGCTTCTGAAACTCTCGCTGCTACAAAGTGAATGATTAATCATAAACTTTGGGAAGCCATTGACGAGGCAGGCAGCTTTGGTGACACCACCACAACCATTATGGCGTACGCTGCTAACAGGCGCCAAACCAACCCAAAGCTGCCTTGCAGTGTATGAACCCGGCATAGACTCCTGTTGTCAACAGCAGAGTGATCCTCCACCGTAGATGGAAGGTACCTAGCTTAAAGCTAGAGCTGGAGCTATCTTGCCAGGTTCCAGGTTCCAGCTTTCAGATTGGTGATTGAGTTTGTTGAAGTGAACAGCTCACGAAATCGCATGGCAAACGGTACCACTTTGGCGAAGAACTCTGAAAGACTTATTGTCCATCGTGGCGTCATCAAAGATACTCCATCACCCAACTCCGAACCGTTGACAAAGCAAAGATCCATCTTTCTCTGAGCAAACACTTTGTTGTACCGGTACTAGTACTAGTACCTCTCTATGTTGAAGGTTGCACAAAGCCATTTCCAACACGTTCATTGTCCCTCTTCAGAACCAAACCCTTTGATTGCATCCCTATTCAGTATCGTTCAACATGATTGCAACTAATCTTGTCCGCCGAGTGGTGCCAACTTGGCGTCGCCATGGTCGCTCTGCTGTCAACAATTATCGAACCATGTCTTCTGGGAGTGTTGATTTCTCTAGTGCTGAGAATACCAATGCCTTTGCCGATCATTGCGATTTGAATTTGGCTTACAGTCCATACCCTCCCGTCCCAGAAGGACCATACGAGCCTCTGGCAGAATTTGTTATGCAGGATTGGAAGGGACACAACCCCAACGGCGGATTTTTGGGCGAACAAATTGCTATCCGAGACACTGCCACTTCCACGACACGTTCCTTTGATGACTACTACAATATTGCTACTCAAGTCGGAGCTGTTCTCCTGGACGATTATGCCATTGAAGAAGATCAATGCGTGGCCTTGTACTGTCCGAACCATTGTGACTACTTGCCCATTTCTCTGGCAGTTGCCCTTTGTGGATCCAAGCTCACTCCCATTAACCCACTGTATACACGTTCAGAGCTATCCACCGTGCTGCAAAAATCCCGTTCCAAGGTCCTGTTCGTCCACGTATCTAAGCTCGACGTCGCACTTGAGTCTGTTCAGCAGGATTGTCCAGGGATTGAAAATATTGTTGTGATTACTGATGAGGCAGGCGAAGGGATTCCGGAAGGAACCGTCAATTTGAAAGATTTACTCGACAACCCAGACAAAAGACTGACCAAAACGCGTCGAGTTATGCATAAACACACCAAAACCCATCCCTACCTGCTACCCTACAGGTTAGTGCAGCAAAAAGAGTTTTGAAGAAACACTCACATCCACAGTACCGGTCTGGTCGATCTTGCTCACAAAACAATTTCCAACTCCCCTTGTTTGTCACGCAATCTCAGCTCGGGCACCACTGGCCAACCAAAGGGCGTATGTTTGACCCACGAAAACATGGTGGTAAATCTACTTCAATTTCACGAAATTGAAGGGTTGGCTTTTGCGCCGGTAAGAAAGTGCTAGAACAGAAAATTATTTGTGATCGAATGCCCCTTTGGTTCCAATGACGCTCATTAAAGGATTTGTTCTACGCAGGACCACAAGCTGATTTCGCCTCTACCATTTTTCCATATCTATGCGTTTGAGCTATCCATGATTCACACTGCTTGGAAGGGACATGAGCTGATCACATCATCAGGACGATTTGATTTGGAGGAATTCTGCCAAACTGTTCAAGAACACAAACCGGAGAGATCGCACCTTGTGCCTCCTATCATGTTGGGGCTGGGAAAGCATCCAATTGTCGACAAGTAAGTGACACTTGTAAATGATACAAAACAAGATTGTCAGGCGATAGTTTGAGGATTTCCGTGGTCATTGCTATCAAGATCTCACTTACTTGGTCGTTGCATCCACCAAGATACGATATGTCGAGTTTGAAGACTATCATTAGCGCAGCTGCTCCCTTGGGAGAAGACAACGAGAACGCAGTCAAGAAACGCTTTGATGGTATCTGCGTCAAGCAAGGGTGGGGCATGTCTGAATTGAGCCCCTTGGGCACACTCAATTCTGACTTCAACGCCAAGCCCGGGAGTGTCGGTCCGTTGTGTCCGAACACTTTTGGTAAGGTTGTTGGCGAAGACGGTAAGTCCCTGCCTCCAAACGAAAGCGGGGAACTACTCATCAAGGGGCCACAAGTCATGATGGGCTACTTGGATGATCACGACAAAACTGCCGAATGTTTGAGTCACTCGGGGTGGCTCCGCACGGGCGACATTGCCCACTTTACG